TGAGGTCCTGTGAGGGGTGAGTTCAGTCTTTGTTTTCAAACAGTGTCTGTTTCCCCCTGACTGATTAATGAACATTGAACAGGGAGTGGAAGGCGTGTTTGAGAGTTATTCCTCGCAGGCCCTAGAAGGCATTGTTCCTGGTCTTCTGGTGGGTTCCCCGCTTGCTGTTTCCCTCAGTTGCATGATAAGCTCTTCAGGTTGAAGTTCACATCCTATATAATAGAAGGCTAATATGCTAAGTGTCCAGTTGTCTGTTCAACCAATCAAAGCGTAATATGCTAATGATATGCTAAGGTCATTCAACCGCTCGCTATGATGTGCATTGACCACCAGGGGACAGACAGTCAACCGGTCAACCAGTCGCTGTGATGTACACTGACCACCAGGGGGCAGACGCTTTGACCAGTAGGTTAGCTTGCTACTAGGGTCCAGCCAATCAGGACTGAGCGAGTTGGGCCAGACACGCCCTAGAGCCCTCCCACAGTCCCTCCCGGGCTGGCCAACCTCCCGCGTTCCTCCCTGGCCCTGATCATGCACTAGTGGGGTCCCTTGGCCTGGCCTGTGCCCTCTCGCAATCTGGACTGAGGGACCCCCTCTCCCCAGTGCATAATTTTGTGCACCGGGCCTCTAGTTTCAAAATAATCACATACATGAATCTTCTTTTGCAATGTCTTCTGTGGCTTAAAAATCTGTAAATTCATCATTCTTACCCAGGCTTGAAAAAAACATTTTCCACACTGCTTGTTTTTTGTTGTTGTTTTTATTCTTTGAAAACAAAACAAAACAAAACATTTTATAATCCATTCTGACATAAGGTGGTATCCAAATTTAATTATTTTTCCAAATAGGTAATCTACTTTACCATCACCACTTTTTAGCACTAACCAGGTGGTCTCCTAAGAGAGAATCTGCCGGGTTCTGCACTAAAGAATTGGCCCAGGAGAATGAGCTTGGGGCGAGACTAGTGTCAGCAATGAGCGGCCTCGGTGGCCCTGCCCTGGGTGGCCCTGCCCCGGGTGGTCCGTAGGGATGGAGGAGGAGAGATGGGAGGAGAGTAGGGGCCGGGCGGGCTTGACCTCAGAGGGGCACATGCGGGAGGCTGTGGGCGGGGGAACCCCTCTGCGCCCTGAGTGCGGGGGTTCTACGCATCTGCGCGGGCATGCCTGGGAGATGGGGTGGGTGCTTGGGAGGTAGTGTGGGTGCCTGGGAGGTAGTGTGGGTGCCTGGGAGGTAGGGTGAGTGCCTGGGAGGTAGGGTGGGTGCCTGGGAGGTAGGGTGAGTGCCTGGGAGGTAGTATGGGTGCCTGGGAGGTAGGGTGGGTGCCTGGGAGGTAGGGTGGGTCCCGTGCCGGACCACCGCAATAAAGTGAGCGTTGCCATAGAGCAGGTCGGGATCTTTTCGCTTTCAGTTAGTAAAAACGCAGTATTTGTGAAGCTCAGTAAAGTGAGGTATCTCCGTAGATAAGTTAAAACTCATGAAACTGTACATGGAGAGCAAATGTCCATTTTATTGCACTTTCATTTAAGAAGTGAAATTTAAAAACTGGTGCTTTTAAGGCCAATAATACAGGAAATAATAAAGAAGGAAGCCAAATAAAATCTAATCTCTCATGCCTAACAAAACAATGTGAGAAATTCTTATATCCAATTTAAGAATGGGTAATATAGGAAAAAATAGGCATCTTTTTAAGTTTGTTGTTCTTTTAACTACTCAGGGTCTAGGGCTAAATTTAAAACACGAACAGCTTGGTAATGAGGCATAAAATCTTTATCCAAATAATGGTTCAGAGACTTTAAAGCTGTTTCCCCGTGTGTTTCTAATGGCGGAGACGGTGCTGGAACAGCGAGCGCAGCCGTCATTACTGCCACGCTGTGCTTTCCGAGCCACCCAGCTTCACACCAGGTGGACCTGTTAACGGCCAGTCGCAGGAGGAGAGCGGGTTTCAGGAGGGGCGGGAGGGCGGGAGAAACGCTGCCGGGACTCGCGTTCATCCGTCCCCTGAGAGCGGCCTCCCCCCAGAACCGCTCCTGCTGGGAATGCCCCGCGCTGCTACCCCTGCAGCTGGCGGAGCTGCAGCAGAGAACAAGCCGTTTAGCCCAGATGGTGTGAGGGGGACGGCATCACCGGGGACGTATCTCCAGCTATTGCCAGAGCGTCACACTCGGTGTCTGAGACCTCTTCTACCTCCACGCCTTTCAGGGAAAGGCGAAGCCAGGCGTGAGGCGAGATCAGTGGTCCCGGGGCCAGGGCTGGGCAGGGTGTGACTCCAGGGCGTGGAGGGAGCAACTCCAGGGGCACCCGAGGGGGCGGGGGGGGGGGTGGCGAGGGAGCTGGTCCCTGCCCTGCTGTGATCGCTGATCCCGCTCACATGGGCCAGGTCTAGGCAGCCAGCAGGTGCTTGTGAGCTGATGGCAGGATCTTCCCCCCAAGAAGGGGGATTAAGTGGAGTCATTGGTGGGGTAGACATGATCTCTGTGGCCTGAAGGAGCCGGGAAAGGGGGTCACTGAGAGAACCAAGGCTGACAGAGAGGGCCCCAAAGCAGGGAAGCCTTCGGGAGAAGCATGAATAGCGGTGCATCAAACTACTGTCATAATCCACCTGTTGGATATTGCCACGTCTGCCTAACGATCCGTCCGCCAATCCATCTCTCTCCTCTTGACCATGTACATGGTGCTAGCAGCAGCAGAAGCAGTGATGATATAACCATTATCAAGTGTCGACTGCCATAATCATAACCAAAGTGCTCTGCAGTTCTTAGCTGCTAATAACCCCTAGGTAATAGTGGAAAGGCTGTAAGGAAGGTGACATCGCGCTAAGAGACGGGCTACTAGGGCCAGTCGCCCTGGCTACGGAAGGAAGTCGGGGAAGGCTTCCTTGAGAGAGGAATGGTTCGACTAGACTCGCCAGAGGGATAGAACCAAGGAGGTGAAGTGTGGGAAGTGGGTCACGATGGGGAAGCAGCGGGTGTGGGAGCGAGGACAGGAGCACAGCCTGTGAAGGACGAAGGACCGGTGTGGCTGGCGCCGGGGGAGCAGGGGGTGGCCCGGCGCGGGATGCGGCCAGAGATGCTGGTAGGGCCCAGCTGCAGGCTGTGAGTGCCAGGAGGGCGTCGGTTTTATCCCAAGAGCATGGAGAGTCATGGAGGGACTTTAAGCAAGAGAGTAATCTGCTCACACGTGCATTTCAAAGAGCAGGCTGGTTGAAGTCTGGAAACCTACTGGGGAAGGCGAGCTAGACAAGCCCGATCGGGATTGCGGTAATAATTCGAGTGAAAGGGGAGGGTAGCTTCGCTTCTCCTGTGGACGCGCGAACGGATGGACAGCTGGGTGGTGGCGCACGGGTCACCCAGGCTGAGCTGGCGAGACCCGGGGACTGTGATCTTAAAGAAACTAGCCTTGTCTCCCGCCGTCCCTGAAACTCGCGCCCTGGGCCTTGCTCTTTCGCCCCTGGCTGAACACATGGGAGACCCCGCCTTTCCGTTTGTCTGGGTTGGCATTGCGGAGCCATTCTCACAGAGCGGTCAGTTGTGGGTTCCGTTAAACGGGGCCTGGCGCAGGCGAGAACCAGGGGCTCGGGGGCTGCTGCTCCCTCTCCAGCTTTGTCCTTTGCTTCCTTCCTCACTTTGCAAACTTGTTCTCTGGCTCCTCCAGGGACTGAGAGCCCCGAGGAGGGGGAGGAAGAAGGGGGGCAGGAGAGTTCTAGAGGCCGGGGCTGCCCTGAGCGGGAGCCGTGGCTGGGTGTGTGGGTCGCACCTCCAACCACACATCCCTCGCTCTTTGATGGGCGCGTGCACCTCCCTCTGTCTGACCACGCGTTCCCTCCGCGGCTCCTGGCCCTGGAGGCAGAAGGAAACCCTCTGTGAAGGGCTCCCGTGGCGCCCGGGGGGGACGGACGGACGGGCCGTGTGGTTGTGGGCGCACACGTGCACTTGTTCTCTCACGGCGCCCGCGCTGATCCACACGGGAGCAGCTCTCTGGGCCGCGGGCTTCAGCAGTCAGTGCGGGCAGTCTGCCGCCCGCCCGCTTGGCGCCGCACGCCCTTGCTCAAGGCCCTCGCACCCTGGTGTGGCAGCTGGTGCGGCAGCACGGACGGCGCTGTCGGTAGCAGGGCAGTCGGGGGGCGGGGGGACTGAGCTGGTGATGCCGCCCTGCAGGCGGGCGGGCTCTCTGACCTGTTAGCTCTGCTCCTTCCAACAACCCCTCTACCCCCCCAACACACACACACACACACACACACACACACACTCTCACACACACACACACACACACACACACTCATACACGCACAGACACATACACACACACTCATACACACACTCACACACACTCATACATGCACACACACACTCATACATGCACACACATACACACACGCACAGACACATGCACACACACACACACACACACACACACTCATACACGCACAGACACATACACACACACTCATACACACACTCACACACACTCATACACACGCTCACGCACACTCATACATGCACACACATACACACACACACATACACACACACTCATACACGCACACTCATACACACACACATACCCAGGGTGCTCTCCCGCCTCACGGTCCACATCCCAATCACCTCAAGGTCCTGTCTGCCACGTGAGGTCGCAGTGCCAGCCCCAGGGCCAGAGCCGGGCTGCGGCACGAGGGCCTCCGCTCTGCCCGCACCAGGCCCCAGTCCGCAGATGGCGAATCTGAAAGGATCGTTTCCCGCCTGTAGAATTTTAACAAATCCCTTTGTTTCTTCCTTCAGTGTGAGCTCCTGCTAATGGGACACAGGGACATGGAGATGGAGCAGCAGTTTGATTTTTCTTTGCTTTTTAAAAATCTGTTGGTAGTACTGTGTGACCAGATTATTTTGTTTACCTTAGAGTGTAAACTTTATGAAAATGCATTGCTGCCATTTAAAATTCAACATTGAACATCTAATCCGCACAATGTTACAAGAATAATGTTTAAAACGTTTTCTAACACCCAGATTTGGACTTAGAACCACCAACAGAATCTACTGGAAGCAGTTTCTGACGTTGCTGCACGACCCTCAGTGGTCGGAGGCTCAGAGTTCTGGTCCCCCGGCCAAAAAGGACAGGTATGTCAAAACCCCTACGTTTTAGTTACACATGTCATAGCATGTCAAAGGCTAGAGGAGATCTGAATTCCTTTCTCCTCATTTATTAATGAAAAATTCGCCTGCATGAATAATTATGAACTTTTACGGAGTGATTTGCAGTTTGTAAATTATGTTCTATTACACGCTGACTTAGAATCGCCTTATACCTACAAGGGAGGTGTAGTTATTATTCCAATTTCTAGATGGAAAGAGGAGACTATGGGGCGTCTGGCCAGGTCACGCGCTTAGAGAGCAGCGGAGGCAGACGCCGCCCGCGCCCGCGCTCGCCACCAGCACTGCCCTGAGCTCTGGGTTTTCTTGTCAAGTGGGGCGTAAACACGCATTTGTCAAGTGTCACAGGGAAAGGACGCCACGTGGTAACGGAGTCTCTGCCCGCTCTGTGCGGCGCAGACGTGTGGGCCGCGGGAGACCGGGCCCTGGAGCCGTTATTTCTGGGCTCGCTCCCGTGTCTGTCATCACGTGAGGTTTGCGTTGTCACATAAATTGTGGAGGGGCCCCACGGTGTGGGAAGCACTAAACTGCGACACGTGAGAGTCCAGACTTCGCTCTCAGGAGGGTCTGTTCATGCTGATGTGCGCCTGTGGGCGGCCCAGCCCGTGTAAGCCGCAAAGGGAGAGCCGGCCCTGGATCTCAGCACCGCGCCCCACTGAAGCAAACGCACCAGCGTCATTCCCATCGCCCTGGGCTGCCGTCTGGGGCTCCTGAACACCTGATGACCGCCCACACCGGCCCAGCCAGGGCACAGACTCGCTAGAAGGCTGGGCACAGGCAGAGGGCAGAGGGCAAGGGGGAGGGAAGCTGGCTCAGCACAGCAAACCCTGGCAGCTGCATGCGCCCGCAGCCCTTGTGGGAGTCACCCTGACCGAGGCCGCGGGCCGGCACGCGCCTGCGCTTTCGGGAGAAGAGCTGTCCACAGGGAGACCGTTACTATAGCTGCTGTGGGGGTGATTTTTAGAATTTTGTTTTGCTTATGTAAGAACAATTCTTAGTCAAGAACATGATTCTATTTCTGATTTTTCCTCTTCGTCTTCTTGTAGCACCAACCCTAGAAATCAGTGTTGCGGGGAGAATATCATCACCAAGTTGTTCGCACGAGGAGACCACTACGCACTGCTGAGGAAGACGCTGCTGATGGTCAGCTCGGTGAGGCTCCTGAGGCTGCCGGGCTGCCGGGCGGGGCGAGGCCGGCAGCAGCTGGGCGTGCACTCCCTTATCCGGCAGCAAGCGGTGCTTTTTGTTTTGTTAGTCCTCACCCGAGGGTATTTTTCATCGATTTTTAGAGAGAGTGGAAGGGAGAGTGAGAGACAGACACATTGATTGGTTGCCTCCTGCATGTGCCCTGACCAGGGCCGGGCATCAAGCCTGCAACCGAGGCACGTACCCTTGGCTGGAATCAAACCGGGGACCCTTCAGTCTGTGAACCAAACAGCCAGGCCAGCAAGTGTTTTTGGAGCCCCTGTTTATGCGGGGAATTACCCAGAGTGCTTAGGAATCCATGGCTTGGCCTCCGGAGTCAGTCTAGTTGGGGGGACCGATGATATACATTTACTATGATACAGGAAGACGCACAGGGGTGAGAACAATGCGTGGCCAGGTCGCTGAGAGCGGAGGGGCTGCTGAATCGATGAGTAACCCAGACCCATGAATGCCCCTCAGCCTAGAATTTAGGGCTCATGCCCGGCTTGTAGCTCGGAGCAGGGACATTCTCCTAGTTCGAGAGCAGCCTTAGTCGTGAGGTTGTCCTGCAGAGGGAGGCTGATCGGTGAGCGTGCAGCTCGCGCCGAAACATCAGCCGTCGCACTGTACTCTGCATCTGAGAGCAGCGGCACTGGGGCATCTTTGATCCTTAGGTGACATTTCTCAAGTTCGTTATTTACTAAGCACATTCAGAAACCGAGTCTCTACCAGATTCCAGCACCCCCGTGAGTTCCTCTCCTTCAGACGCCAGTATTACAGCAGAGGAGCCACTCGGGTGCCGCGCCAGCCTTCCCGAGCCCGGAGGCCACAGGCAGGCTGCTCAGTGGGCAGCGCTCAGGGACGGAGCCCCCGGGCCCCAGGGGCCTTCTGGTGGGCGGGTGCCCTCTGCCCTGGCGGCCGCGCCCCTCTCCTCGGTCCATCCTCCAGGCCGTGCGGGGTTTCCGGGAGTAGTGTTCAGAGATTGGGGTTCTGTTCTCTGCGGGGACGTTTTTGCTGGCGGTCCTGTTGTGATTGACCTTGAGGCCGCATGTGACCTGGCATCTGACTGAGCAGCCATATGGGCGCTTACCGTGTGCCACGCGCCGTCTTCAGTGATGGGCTGGCTTTCACCGGGCACCCTCTCCCAGCTCTGCGAGGGGCGCTGTTCTTGCTCCTGTGTCCTTTTGTCCCCGTTGGCTGAGGAAGGGTGCAGGGGGTGACGGCCTGAGGCTCCCTGGAGAGTGCGGGCCGGGATTCAAACCTCCAAACTGGCTGCTCCAGAGCCGCACCCAGAGCCGCCTGGTCAGCCCTGCCTGGAGCCTCCCGGAGCTGCTAGCTGGCCTCCCCTTAAAGATAAATGAAGGCTTCATGAGCTCCGTTTCTATTAATATATTAAAGAAACAATTTTAATTAAAAATAGTGCATCTGCTTCTCTCCTGATGGAGGGCTGTGATAATGCGAACTGACAGCCGCAAGTGCCCGGCTGTCGGACCCTCCTCGGACCCTCCTCGGCGTGCTGTTAGATGGAGAGCCGCACGCACGGTGGAGGTGAGGATGCGCCCGCCTGCGCCGGGCTGCGGTGGGCGCTCAGGCTGAGGGCGCGGGCGGACCATGCAGGGCTCCTGCCCATGACTGACTCACACTGAGTGTCAGGCCGGCAGCGACCACCCGATGCCTCAGAGGAGCAGAGAGCAGGGTTTCTGAGAGGGATTCCCCACCCCACCACCCCCACTCCTCACCTCCACCCCCACCCCCACTCCCACCCCCACTCCTCACCTTCACCCCCACCCCCACCCCACCACCCCCACTCCTCACCTCCACCCCCACTCTTCACCCCCACCCCCACTCTTCACCTCCACCCCTACCGCCACTCCCACCCCCACCCCACCCCACCCCCACCCCACCCCCACTCCTCACCTCCACCCCTACCCCCACCGCCACTCCCACCTCCACCCCCACCCCCACTCTTCACCTCCACCCCCACCCCCACTCCTTACCTCCACCCCCACCCCCACCTCCACCCCCACCCCCACTCTTCACCTCCACCCCCACCCCCACCTCCCCATTTGCCTTGGTCCTGACCCCCTCCTGGGACCTGGAGGGAGAGTCTTGCCTGCTGCGGGCAGGCCCTGGGGAGTGGTCCCCCTCCTGCAGTCGGAGGATGCAGGATGCGGAGCCATTAGAGCTGCTTGATCTGCTGCCAGTCCTGCCGGGCAGCTGTGTGTGCTGCTCCGCACGCTCGCCAGCCATCGCTGAGAGCGCGCCCGGGCACGGATCCCTTACGCTTCCTGCAGGTGTGGCTGTCTCTCTGTCCCCCAGGAACAACTGCGCCCTGCCTCACCTACTCATGTCTTCCGTGTCGTTATTTGCAGTTCATATGCTTTTGTAAATAGAATCTAAAAGAATCCTCAAAACACATGAGACTTAATAATAGAGCTTAGAAAGTCTTTAGATACAAGGTCAATATGCAAAGAGAAACAATATTCCTATATAAATAATAGAGCTTAGAAAGTCTTTAGGTACAAGGTCAATATGCAAAGAGAAACAATATTCCTATACAGAGCAATAAGCAATTAGAAAAAGAAGTTTAAAAATACAATTTCTAATCATATTTTTTAAAAATTAAATACCTAGAAATATATATAACAAACAATGTGCGGAGGCTCTATGTTGAAGGCTACAAAGATTGGTTATAGAAATAATACCAACCCTTCACAAACATTCAGAATATACAGGAGGAAGCTAGGTAAAAACACCACAAGAAAAGAAAACCATAGCCAGCTGTGGGCAAACTACAGCCCGCGGGCCAGATCCGGCCCGTTTGAAATGAATAAAACTATTGAAAAAAAGACCGTACCCTTTTATGTAATGATGTTTACTTTGAATTTATATTAGTTCACACAAACACTCCATCCATGCTTTTGTTCCGGTCCTCCGGTCCAGTTTAAGAACCCATTGTGGCCCTCGAGTCAAAAAGTTTGCCCACCCCTGCCATAGACCAATATCCTTCATGAATTAGCAAAGCAAATCCAGAAATATAGAAAAAGGATTAAATGCTATGACCATGTGGGGTTTATTCCAGGATTGCAAGGTTGGTTTAACTTCCAAAAAATCAATTAATGTAATACACAACATTAGTAGACTTAAGGACAAAGCCGCATGATCATCTCAAAAGATGAAGAAAAAGTATCTGAAAAATCCAGTGCTTGTTCATGATAGCAGCTCTTGAAAAATTAGGAATAGTAGGAACATACCCAAACCTGCTCAAGGGCATTTGTGAGAAACTCATAGTCAATGGTACAAGACCAAATGCTTTTCCCTAAAGATCGGGAAAAACACAAGAATAAAAGCTCTCGCTACTTCTCTTCAATATTGTACTGAAGTTCTAGACAAGCAATCAGAAAGGAAAAGAAAGAGAAGGCGTTCAGACTGGAAAGGAGAGTAAAACTGTCTTTATTCACATACCATAGGATCTTGTAATAGTAAGTTCTAAGGAATGCACACACACACTGCAAGAACTAATGTATGAGTCCAAGGTTGCAGGATATAAGATCAATATACAATATTCAGTTATATCTGTACAAACTAGCAATATGCAATCTGAAAATGAGTGTCAGAAAGCCATTCCACTCACAGTAGCATCGAAAAGGATAAAATATAAGGGATAAATTCAACGAAAATAGTACCCGACTTGTACACTGGAAATTATGAAACATTATTAAAAGAAAAAGATATAAATAAATGGATAGTCCATATACATGGATTGGAATACTCATTAAGATTGCAAATCTTTCCAAACTGACCTATAAATTCAGTGCAAACCACATCAAGATCCAAGCTGGCTTTCTTTCTTTTTTTCTTTTTTTTTTTGCAGAAATTGAAAAACTAATCTTAAAAATTCATATGGAAACGCAAGTTGGCAGAATAGCCAAAGCAATCTTGGAAAAGAAGAATGAAGTGAGAGCACAGCACTTCCAGGCAGAACCTTCTCCGTGTAAAGCCACAGCAATAAAGACAGTGGAGCGGCAGGGGGAGAGGCACGCTGGTCAGCGGGCAGAACCGAGAGGAGGGAAATAAACCCTCACGCTGCGGTCACCCCGTTTGGCAAATTCAGGGGGCGCTGGGGGAAAGAATAATCTCCTCAACAAATGGTGTCGAGACAGTTGGATATCCATATGCAAAAAGGCAAATTAACTTACATCACACACAGAAATTAACTTTAAATGTCCCTAGACCTAAAAATAAGAGCTAAAACGATAAAACTCTTGGAGACATGCGTAATTCTTTGTGACCTTGTGTTAGGCAAAGAGTTTTTAGATATGACACTAAAAGCATGATCCATTTAAAAAAAAAAAACCCCAATAAGTTGTATTTATCAAAATTCAAACCTTTTGTGCGCCAGGAGATACCATTAAGAAAATGAAAAGACAGGCCACAGACTAGGAGACAACGTATGTAATTGAAATATCTGGCCAAGGACCTGTATGTAGATGGAATATGTAAGAACGCTTAGAACTTAAGAAGAAGACAACCCAATTTTAAAAATGGGCCAAAGATTTTAATAGACAGTTCACCAAAGAAGATATCCGAATAGTCAGTGAGCACATAGAAAGATGCTCACGCCCTAAGCGGTTGCTTAGTGGTTAGAGTGTCAGCACACAGACTGAAGGGTCTGGGGTTCGATTCTGGTCAAGGGCATGTACCTGGGTTTCAGGCTTGATCCCTGCCCTGGTCTGGGCGCATGTGGGAGGCAGCCAATAGATGTGTCTCTCTCACACTGATGTTCCTCTCTCTCTGTCTCTCCCTCTCCCCGCCTCTCTCTAAAAATCAATGGAAAAATATATGCTTGGGTGAGGATTACCAACAACAACAAAAAGATGCTCAACACCACTAGACATTAGGGAGATACGAATTAAAACCATATGAGATACTACTTCACATTTGATTACATGTGGCTATAATCAAACCCCTAGACCAGCGGCCGCTGGAATTAGATAGTGGTGGTGATGGTTGCACAAGGCTATACATTTATTGAAAATCACCAAAAACTTGTCAATGATTCCTGTTTAGACACTAAAAAGTTGATTATTGCTCCCAAACCCAAAAATAAGCATGCCTGTATCCTAAATTACTGAATTTTCCCCAAGAGAACCTCTGTCCCTTTCAGATTTTGGCCCAGAGTAAAGGCTGGCATTTACATGCCACTTTCTCACTTAATATGCTCTTTTGCCACATTAATATTCGCAGTATTTCTCTATGAGGCAGGGTTGTTTTTTTTTAAGTTTCCTGTTTTTCTGTAACAGTAGCTCTCAATTTTGATATTTAATTTACTTGCTGGTGGTTTTTTATTCTGGGGAAGAAGTTTGCCCCTCGGTATTTTGCTCACCATATGCTTTCTTTAGGCAGCAGGGCTGAAACCTTTCTCCCTAAGTACTTGTCCATTTTTGTAATGAATGAGGTTGGTGGTAGTGAAAACACGCCTAATTAACATTCTTATTAAATTGGTGAATTGTAATTGAACTGCCAGGAAGTTTTGTGTCCCCTGAGGCTGATCCCGTCGCCTTCAGGTGGGGTTGGGGCAGGAGGGACTATTCCAGCTTCTGTGACAGGCACGTTTGGCCTGCCCCTGGAAGGGGGTCACCCCGGGGCCATCTCCTGCCCCTGTCCTGACAGGGAGCATTATGGGAACTGCACTCGCAAAGTGCTAGCCTCCCCTACCGCCCATTGCTTGTTGAAATGTATAAGATTTCTTTAACAGCTCCATGTTATATAATGATTATCAATTTCAGTATTCTCATTTCATAGCATAATTCTGTTTACCTAAGCTCTCAGTTTATTAAATGATGCTAAACACATATATAATGCTTTCCTTCCTTTTTTCTTTTAAAAAATTCCCTTACATACACGCTCCTGCTCAGAAGGTGAACGGGCGGATAAAAGCGCCAGAGCTGCAGCACACCATCAACTCCATGGTGGTGAAACTGAGCGACTCAGAGTTCAAGGAACTGATGCGGACGCTGGACCCCGGGGGCTCGGGCCTGGTGGACATCAGCAGGTTCCTGGAGCTGCTGGAGGAGAGCCGTGGGGAGGTGAGTGCCGCGGCGGCGCTCCGGGTCCAGTCACGGGGGGGAACAGTGTTCTCAGTAAAATCAGGGGTGCTGGTGCCGTGCGGTTTAATGAAGCACATCTCTTCGCTGAGGTAACTTTTCAGCTGCGGTAACTTTCATTTTAAGTCAGAATTAAGTGTGTAAGAGTTACTCAATTTGGACTTCTCTGTATTTTATATTTTATTTTATTTTATTTTATTATTTTAAACCTCACCAGAGGATATTTTTCCATTGATTTTTGGAGAGAGTGGGAGAACAGGGGAAAGAACCGTCTCCCAGGCCGTGTGCAGATTGCTCCTCTGGGTTCCGTCCCGTCTGTAGAGTTCTTGTGTTAGTTCACCTTTTGTGTGATAACAGTGTTGCCTCTAGTGACTGACACTGGCTTTTAGTATTGGTTTCTTTTGACCAAAAAATTGACATCAATAGATTCTTGTTGAAACTAGAGGCCCAGTGCATGGTTTCGTGCACCGGTGGGGTCCTTTGGCCTGGCCTGTGCCCTCTCACAATCCGGGACCCCTCAGGGGATGTTGGGCTGTGGGTTTCGGCCCGATCCCCACAGGCCAGGCTGGGGGACCCCACCAGTGCATGAATCCATGCATCAGGCCTCTAATATGCATATAAGATATTTGGTTAATCTCTTCCCGCCCTCCCCTCTCCCCCCTTCCCTCTGAGATTCATCAGTCTGTTCCATTTTTTCATGCCTGTACACTGAGCATCTGCCCCCTGGTGATCAATGTACATCATAGCTACAGGTCGAACAGTCGGTTGGTCTCTTAGGCTTTTATATATATAAATGTGTAAGATTTCCTTTAATAGCTACAGATTAACCTTTCATTCTACTATTATCGTTTCCTGCATGGCCCCCTGTGCAAGGTGATAACCACAGCCTAAACCAGTGATGGCGAACCTATGACACGCGTGTCAGAGGTGACACGCGAACTCATTTTTTTGGTTGATTTTTCTTTGTTAAATGGCATTTAAATATATAAAATAAATATAAAAAATATAAGTCTTTGTTTTACTATGGTTGCAAATATCAAAAAATTTTTATATGTGACACGGCACCAGAGTTAAGTTAGGGTTTTTCAAAATGCTGACACGCCGAGCTCAAAAGGTTCGCCATCACTGGCCTAAACCCACACTACCGGGTCCTTCTTAGACTCGAATTCCAAAGTCCCAGAGCCCTTCCCACAGAGGAGTGAGTAATGACAGCTTTTCCTGAACTCCGCGTGGAACAGACCTGTAGGAGCTCTGACCCCACCGCAGCCTCGCACAGAGCCAGCATTTTTCTTTAAAACCAAAAATATAGACGTGTCAACAATCTGCCCCCTCCTCCCCCCTGCACCTGGCGAGTGCAGTGATGTTTGCTCAGTAGGAATCAGATCCTGTCAACTGCACCCCCTCCAGCCTCTGCCCCACTTCCTCTGCTCCTCTCAGGGGCCATTCTGCAGGTCCCAGTGTCTCAGGCCCTCCCAGGGACCCCCGACACCCCTGAAGGAGCCCCTCTTGTAGTCCTCGACCTCACACTAGTCACAATCTCGTGTGACATTATGTGGCCAGGCCTTCCCCTTGTACCGCAGGGAGCCCAGCACTGGGCTCACTCACAAAACGACTTGGTGAGAGACTGAATCATTCGGAAAATTAGAAAACGTAGATATGGAGACAGGAGAGAATAAAAATCACCACTAATTCTAACCTCGAGGACTCCTTACCCACACTTATCCTCCCAAACCTACATACCGACACACACACTTTTCTTTGCAGCTTAGTTATTTTTTTATTTTTAAATATATTTTATTGATTTTTTTTTACAGAGAGGAGGGGAGAGAGATAGAGAGTTAGAAACATCGATGAGAGAGAAACATCGATCAGCTGCCTCCTGCACATCTCCCACTGGGGATGTGCCCGCAACCCAGGTACATGCCCTTGACCGGAATCGAACCCGGGACCCTTCAGTCCGCAGGCCAACGCTCTATCCACTGAGCCAAACCGGTTTTGGCTGCAGCTTAGTTATAATGGCTATTACACCTCAGTAAAGCTGCAAGAAACCGCGTGTATTACTCTATAGAATTTGATGAGTTGGACACAAGCTTTCATACATGATAATCTGTTTCATTTTAAAATGAGATCATGTAATCACAGCCTTTTTAGTTGTTGTCACTTATTAACATATTATTAACAGTGTCAATTCTGTTGTATAACTTTAAAGACACAGAGTAGTAACTATTCCCCGACGTTACAATCTAGGTGTCTTTTTTTCTTTCATGACTTTCGGTACAATGACTATTGGGGTGCCTACCTTTTTTTGCCTCACTCTGTGGTTTTCCTTTAGTATAAACTTCTAGAAATGGAATTATTGGATCAAAGAGTATATATTTTATTTTTAAATTATAATGGTTTAAAGAGGAATATGTGTGTAACGTACAGACTGCAGACGATGGGAAGGGACTGCGTGAGGAGCGAGTGTCCTCCCGCTCCCTGGCCCCGGGAGGAGCCACTGCCCCCGGGGTCTGCAGCGGTCACACCGGCGGAGGTCATTCCCGGCCACCCCGCACTTCGTTGCTTTTTCGTTCTTACCACGTTGACAGGCAGGAGTGCCGCCTCATTATTCTCTCACTCTGCATTTACTTCATTTCTAGATGATGGGCTTGTTCATGTTTATTGTACTTTTTAAAAATAAGTGCCAGTTCGGGGTTCTTGTTCCCATTTCCAGGGGGTCAGAGGGCAGCCTCACCCGCTCAGTCTCCCGGCCGCTGGCTGACGGGCATGGCTGGCCGTCACAGTCGGACTCAGAGCTCCGCCTGCCCTTGTGAGTGACCTGTATTCACTCGCGTCCTTTCTCTCCACTCAGATAGGGAAGCCGTCCTCCGGGGGGGACGCCCAGGCGTCACACCTGCTGGCCTGGGACTTAGTAAGTACCCTTCCCCCCTCCGTAGTCCCAGGTGCCCTCTCCATGGTTCCGTGGTCCCAGGGTGCTGCCTCTGTGGTTCTGTGGTCCTGGGGTGCCCCCTCCCTGGTCCCGGGATGCCCCCTGCCTCCGTGGTCCTTGGGATGCCCCCTCTCTCCGTGGTCCCGGGATGCCCCCTCCCTCTGTGTTCCTGGGGTGCTCCCTCCGTGGTCCCGGGATGCCCCCTCCGTGGTCCCGGGATGCCCCCTCTCTCCGTGGTCCCGGGATGCCCCCTCTCTCCGTGGTCCCGGGATGCCCCCTGCCTCCGTGGTCCTTGGGGTGCCCCCTCCGTGGTCTCGGGTGCTCCCCCCAGGCCACACGCCTGCAGCCTGTGACCGTGTGTGTTCTCAGGTGGAAGGGATGGTGCGGGACTCCATCAGCAGGAACCTCCTGGCGTTCCACGACCTGCTGTGCTCCTACGACTTGGGAGACTCGGGGCTCGTCGGGGCAAACAACTTCAAGAAAGTGATGCACATATTCTGCCCGTGCCTGACGACGGAACATTTGGCAAAGTGAGTCTCAGCCACAGAAGTCCTTCCTGCCGTGTTTCCGTCACGGCTGCTTCCATCGCTCCGCCCCCTCGAAGCGTGCTCGCGGTGCTCGCGGTGCCGGTCAGGCCGCTCACGCACCCCGGCAGCGCCGGCTCCGCTGGGAGCCGCTCTGTGACAGGCTCCGCACAGGCGGGGCCGCCGGTCCTCCTCACGATGGGGACGCAGGCCCTGAATGGCCGGTTCCCGGGTTCCCGGCGGCTGGCTCCGTGAGGCGGCGGGTGGCTCACGGTTCGCCGCGCAGCACCGCGCTCCGCACATGGGGATCCGGTGAAGCGACTGTAATAGTCACAGGTCCCTGCTGCGCGGCGTGGCGTCAGCACTCGTGACCGTTACCACAGCTGGCTACTGAGCGCACATGCACACGCACATACACACGCGTGTGCACACGCACGCACACACGTGCCAGCTGGCTTCCTGCTCGCAGCCCTCCTCTGCGCCGGGCACTGCTGTGCGCGTCTTGTAGGCGGAAAGGGACGCAGGAGAGGCGGTGCCCAGCCTCTGCTGGGAGGGGGGGCGGCCACGCGCTCTGGGGAAGTGCCTGGTCCCGCAGGCTCAGATATGAAGACGCATTGGATGACACCGAGGGTGCGGGATGACAGCAGCGACGGCCGCAGTTGCCAGTGAGCTAGGAAGTGCTGCTGCAAAGCCGAGTTCATGTCCGAAAGTCCAGTCTCACTCCTCACGAGACCCTGACGGTCTGCACGGCCTGAGAACACACGCGTCCCCTCCGTGCTCTGGGTGGGGTCACGGGACACGCCTCTGAGGAGCCCGCTGCGCACACAGAGGCGAGGGCGGACGGGCAAAGAGGCCTCAGCGTTCACACGAGGCCGGCTGTGGCCGCAGGCGCCCGGCAGCCTCCAGGGCCACCCCTGAGGGTGCCTGTCCTTCCTCTGCACCGGCCACAGGCCGCTCAGACCCGCCGGCGGGCACTTTATTCCACCCACCCCCCCCGCCCCAGCAGCCTCTGCTCAGCTCCCCGCCACTCTGGTTACTTTGTACTTTCCATGATTTTACATAAGTGAAAGCACACGTGGTGTTCGCTTCTTTTTTTTAAAATTTTTAAAATCCTCACACGAGTGTATTTTTCCCATTGCCCTTAGAGAGAGTGGGAGGGAGGTGGGGAGGGAGGGGGAGAGAGAGAGAGAGAGAGAGACATCAATGATATAACTATTGGTTGTCTCTAGCACATGCCCCTCCTGGGCCTGGAACTGAGCTGCACCGAGGTCCGTGCCCTGACCGGGTCCAACCCGCCACCCTTTGGTGCGAGGGCCGCCGCTCTAACCACCGAGCGACCTGCCAGGGCGGTGCTGCTTCTTGTCAGGCTCCGTTCACCCTCACAGCGGGTCTGGGGTTCATTTTGTTGCTACGGATTCCAGCGGGTCCCTTGTCATTGCGAAGTTGCATTCCGCGGTGGGGTGCACGCCTGGTGCATCCACCGGTACCCGGAGGCTGGGCCTGTGGTACGGGCCTCTGTGGACACTCACACCCACTTCTCCAGGGCGGAGTGGCTGGTTCCTTGGGCAAGTGCACGTTTGTGGGGCGCGGTTATGGTGTTTTGGCCAGGTTCAAGCCTCGGACTAATAAAGGACAGGGTCCTCTCATGGCCACGTGCAAGTCCCAGCTGGAGGGCAGGGCCCTCCCAGCACAATCATAGCCAACGGCTGTGGCTGTGAGCTTGAACCTATGGTCCGAACACGTAGCCCCACGTGCCTTGTGCTAGAGTTCGGGTGCATGTAGCTGAGTGGGGCTGAAACTCACGAGAAGGCTGTAAACAACGTGATCACGCCCCTGCTCTGCCTCGTGGCATCTGCTATAAAACAAAGACACGGCTTGTGGGCGCCGGCGCTGTCTCCTCACCAGGGAGCAGCGTCCCGCCGAGACCCAGCTTCCATTCTCTTGTCTGTCTTTTCTCAATCCTTTCACACCCCCCTCCCCGCCCCCCCCACTCAGGGTCACTGAACCAGGCTGAGCTGGCATGGCACATAAGGCGCCCTGGGGCTGAGTATGCCATGGCCGTGCCGGCTCCCCACACACGTCCAGCTGCCAAGCCGGCTTTCCCAGCGGCCGCTGCCCACGCCGCACGCCAGGCGGGCGGGGTGCAGGTGCCCACACACTTGTCGCCCACGCACGGAGGGCCTGTCTTTTCGTTTCCGCCGTTCTAACGGGCGTGTTCCGCTTACCTTTACAATCCAGACTCTGCAGCAAGTTTAAGGATTCAGCCTCGGGAAAGGTCCTGTACAAGAACCTCCTGGCCAGCATGGGCGTCCAGGGCCTGCCCGCCGCCCGTCCAGCTAATGCCGTGAAGGACCGGCCGCCCCGCGAGCAGGGGCAGAAGGGGCCGCCGCCGGAGAGCGCCGAGAGGTAATGAGAGGCAGGTGCAGGCGCAGCGAGAACCTCGGCGCCGTGGGGCAGGCAGTTAGTGAACCTTTGTGTAAACGTGAGTGTGTTCATGTTGTATTATTTAGATAAGAAAGGTGGCAGACTGTCAGCGCAGCGCTGGAGGCAGCGGGTTTTAGAGCCGGCAGAGAGCTGAGGGGTTACTGAACTGACCTACTCATTCTAGAAACGAGGCACTGAGGGCCTGGGGACTCGCCTCAAGTTTCACAAAGTCCGTGGCCGTCCGGCCCCGGAACCCAGGGCTTTTGGGCCCAGAGGCCCGGCTGCCGCGCGGCCGTCACAGACCTGCCCTCACCCACCCTCTGCCCCCTGGGACCCTCCCGCACTCTTCCCTGCAGAATCGCCTCCGCCAGGGCGCGCTCCCTACCAGCGATGCAGGGCTCCCGACATGATGGCCAATGGAGTTGTAACGAGGAAACATACTTAGGAAACCTATTAAAAACATCCTCGCCCTTCTTCATTTTGGAAAATACAGGTTTAGTCTAGTGAAGAGATAGTATTCTTACTTGCTTGTTCATAGCTTATAATAAATCCATAAAGAAAGGTAAGATGTAAAGTATTCGGCAGACTTCACCGTCCCCTTTAAGAGCCCCTAAGTGCGAGCCGGGGCGGTCAGCGCTCTGCTAACGGCAGTTGGCGTCGGGCATTCGGGTGGTAGCTGCGTTATAAACGGCAGAAAGGTGGCCCTTTGAGAGCAGGTTAAATGCTCAGAGGTGAGTGGTCTGCCCCCTAAACCAGGAGGGAAGTCTTGGCAGCTGAGCATTTCCTAAAATGCGGGGTGTGCGGAGCAGAGCGCTCCTCAGAGCCGGGGGAGCAGGAGAGGCGGCAGGTTCACTCCTGGCTGTGTCCCGGCCCCACGCCTCGCCCCGGGCCGAGAGGCTGCTGGAGCTGAGGAGGCCGTTGTCCTCTGCGCACACGCCCCTCACACTGCACGCCCCCCCGGGAAGGACCTGGGGGCGGCTGTGGCGCCCTTCCTCCCCGCGGAGGGTGATGGCCCCTGGGACCTGGAAGCCACACAGCAGCCTGTTGGAAGCTTCATTTCCTGGGTCACACGAACACCCTTCCCGCCACGCCTGCCTGACCCAGCGTGGCCAGCCAGCTCCGAGCGCAGGAGGAATCTCACACAGGCGCAGCCTTCTCTTCCCGAGGCTCCTGCCCCCACCTGCTACCACGCGGGCCCGGGGGGAGGGCGGGGGTCTGGGGTGGAACGTGGGGGTCTGTAAGCACCCGCCGGACCTGTGCCTGCTGTGATTTCAGAGCCAAGCCCACAGAGGACAAAAGCGCCTGGACCAAGACGGTGACCAAGGACGAAGCGGTGGAAAAGCTCCGGCACTGGGTCCAGCAGCAGGACCCCGCGTTCAAGAAACAATTTCTCAACTTCAGCAAGGATCTCGACGGCAGAGTGAACTGGTACAACTTCAGGAAGGTAGGACGGGCCTCCCGTGTTTGTGTCTCTGGCCCGAGGCGGTCGGCTGCTCTGTCACACGACGCGCTGCGAATGCGTGGCGCTGGGTTTTCCGTTCTCGGCCGGACAACGCAGGTCACGCCTAGGCCTCTCCGCGGCGGAAGAGGCTCCTCTCGGCCCGTGTCGGCGGCCACTTTCTGCAGAGAACGCGTCTGATCGGCGCCCACGCTGCCCTCGCGGGCAGATGGGGTGGGACCAGGCCTCGCAGGCCCCTCGCTGCAGGGGGAGTGCCCGACGCTGGGGCTTGTCCCGCCAGAGAGGGGGAGAGGCGGGCAGGAAAGGAGCTCAGGGCACTGGCGAGCCGGCCAGAGGGCCCGGCCGGAAGGGTCTGCATAGACTTCTCAGAAACCAGCTCAGAGGGTGCGACATTTCCAAGAAGGGCTCATTATATTAGTGCCGCCGCGTATGGGGGCCGCCCCGGCAGGCGCTGTCACAGGCTCTTTGCATGTCTTCTGTGCCAGCTCCGACAGCAGCCCCGGGCGGGTGGAGGAGGAGGGGCTGGCGGCACAGAGGTGGGGACAGGCTGCTGAGACAGCCCACACCTCCGCTCACAGACAGAACTGAGGGCACGGAGGCCTGAGGGTACGTGAGCACGTGGGCGTGGTGAGAGGGTGGATGCAGGAAACACAGGAATCCGGGCGGCAGAGGAGGGAGAGCTGCGGGACGACTTGGGCCAGGCGGGGCGTCAGCGCCCCACACCCACGAGCCGCCCGTCCTCGCCGAGGACACTGTCACAGGCTCCCCGCAGTCGGAGGCTCACCCACTGTGCCAGTCCAGTTGGTGACGCATGACCTGTCTCCTCCTTTTCCCTGTTTAACGTGAGAGGCCACCAGTGACACCACATGAGGGGACAGCCCTTACCAAGGCAGCTGTTGGGGTTTCATGAGCTTGTGTGCTGCTCACGGTTCGGTGTGTGACTTCTGCGGGGGCAGGAGAAGGCGCGGTGCTTTCCGGGCTCCTGCTAGACCCGGTCTGAGCGTGCCACCCATTCATTACATCGTTTCTCGCACACCCTGTCCCCCGTGTTCTCCCTCCCAGGGGGCCTTCCCAGTTCACTGCTCTGGTGCCTGTGCCACAGGGCTGTGACTGCTGCGCGTTTTTAAAGGCATTTTATTTAAACGATGAGTTGAGAGCTGGTGGTGGTGCAGGAAACTGCTTTGGAACTCTAGGGAGATCTAGTACCTTCCCATTTCTTCCTTGCATATGTTTCTTTTCTCTCTCCCTCCATCACATGCGGAATGAGCAGCAAACTCCCCCAAACAGCGTGTGAAATCAGAGGCTGCGATTTCTCTCTCTGTGACGAGGATCGGGAAGCTGCCCGTGCAGGGCCCGTGCAGAGCTCTGCAGTGTCCAGAGCCCAGGCTGCTTCCAGCCTCTCCTCTTTCAGGTCAGCCCCATGCCTGCAAGACGGCGGCTGGAGAACCAGCCGCCACTCAGGTTTCAGGCACAAAGAAGGCGCAGTGAGGGGCAAAGGGCTTGAGCTAGACAAGTCTTTCTGTCTTAACCCTTTGAGGTCATTTGTCTACTCCCAGCCACCAAAGCTTTTTTACCGTTCCGGTTGTATGTCTGCTCTCAGCCACCACAGCAAGGCCGTACGAATCTTAACTCTATTCATTCATGTGTCAGTTCATAATTTCTCTGAAAGCTCCTAAGTGTCTAAGCGACCTTGTCACGAACCAAAACACTGCCCCGACAAATTGGAGATACCGAAACTCAATATAAACAAGCGCGGTCGTTCCACACGCGCCATGCAAAACACCGTGGCGAGGCAGTCGCCTTTTGAGAGTGAAGAAATCGACAAGCTTCGGAGATATTTCGCAGAATTTCAAATAAAGCTTTACAAATTACGTTTAACTGTAATTAGGCATTCTCGCTTGTTAAGATATTTCAAAATAATCCTCCAAAATGGCAAAAAGAAAGTTACTGAAAGAAGTGGACTGCGAATCTGAAAGTAACGATGAAGAGTTTTATTTTGGCACCTTGAATGCTGACTCTGATTTAGAAAGTGCTAACGTTTGTAGTGATTCTACTAGTAGTGACGTAGTTCCAGAAAGGAATTAATAAAGCTTGTTTATCCTTCATAATCTCGCATGTTATGTATCCCTGCTCTTTCAATGGAAATTCCAACCAGTACGACACCCACGTCCAAATTTAATACGACCGCAAAGGGTTAAAACAGCATCTTAGAAGCTTCTCCCAGCAGCTTTTCTTATGGACCAGGCCTGTGTGTGAGTGTGTGTGTGTGTGTGTGTGTGTGTGTGTGAGAGAGAGAGAGAGAGAGAGAGAGAGAGATATTGAGAGAGAGATTGAGAGAGAGAGAGACTCCGGGCTGGGAGCATGGCCACCTCCAGAAGCACGGTTCTCTCTGTGGGAGAAGGGAGGTACGCGCTGGGCAGGCGAACTCTGTCTGTCGAACTCTGTCAGGAAACACGGAGGGTGCCTGTTGCGCCCTTGGCAGGGGCCCGCGCCACCTGGGGAACGCGGATGGAAAGGAGGCTTGACTGCTTGGTGACGGTGACCCGTGGGGAACATAAAATGACAGAACACCCAAGGACACAGACGTCAAGATTCGTCTAATTGAGTAATTAGCCTAATTGAGCTACTCCATCCGCCAGGAGCGGAGGATGCTTTCCCACTCCCGTTCCCTGTAGTCGGCTGTTCCTGTGCGACGTTGTTATTCGTCACCCTCACAAGCCCCCCCCTTCTCAGGCTGGTCCCCGGGTCCCAGCTGAGGCCTTTGGAGATGGACATGGGGCCGCAGAGCTGTCAGCAAACACAGAGCCTGGGCGGGCAGGCCCTAGGGCAGCAGCGTCTGTCAGCCCGGCCAGCGCCCCAGATTCTTAGGCTCTGGCTCCTGGCTTCTCATCCCTCCAAGGCAGGGCCTGGCCTAGCCCAGGAGCAGGTGTTCCTTCTGCGCCCCAGCAGGTCCTCATGCCCTTCCCACCCCACTACCGTCGCTTCCTCATGGGGCTTCCAGCCCGGCCATGGGAAGCGGATGGAGCGCCTGTCCGGAGGCCGGGCCGGGGGAGGGGACGAGCAGTCCTCGCCCGCTAGCTTCCTGTTGTAGACATGCTCCTGATCTTGCAGGTGGTTTAAGGGGGAGACCAACTGTGCGTTCGAGGTCCTCACATCTTCAGATTTGTTGGTCCAAGCCCCACACAACCGCAGGAGCAGTCGCCACACTTGGTGTCCACTGACCACAACTCTAGGCTTCCGTCTCTGCCTTGGGGTTGCCAGACCTCGCTCCCGGGTGGGCCTGAGTACCACAGCGTGGGGCCTTGCTGGCTGCTTCTCAAAACTTGTCAACTTTGGTGTCAGACTTCAGCCCTGAGCGGTTCCAGAGGTCAGCCCCGTCTGGGAGGGGACCAGTCCTGGTTTGAGCCTGCCCCCTCCATCTCCAAGTTCGAGATCCTAGCACCACACACCTAGCGCACGCTCTGCTGGAGGGGCCCTCCGGCCGGCCCAGCTCTGTTTCTCAGGCTCAAGTCCACTCCCAGAATCCTCAGCTGCTCCCAGGGAAAACGCAGGTGCATGGCCTCAGTGCGCCTCTGCAGGGTCCTTCTCACCTGGGAACTTCAGTCCCTGTGGCAGCACCGCTTCCCCAGCTCTCTGGTACCTTTTTAGTTTTTGTAATGGGTTGGGCTTTTTCAGGTGTTTTGTTGTGGTTTTTTTTTTTTTCATTGAGAATGTTGGCTTGCTATCAATTACTCCATCCTATCCAGAAGCATTTGAAGTCTGTCAGTTTTATTAGTAACCACTTTATTGTTATTGGTATTTTCCTCTCATATATTTATTTTTTATTTCTATTATCTTGATTATTGTCTTCATTCTACTTCATTGAGATTTAATTTGCTTTTCTTTTTCTAATTTCTTGAGATGAAATGTTAGATCATTACTGTTCAGCCTTTATTTCTCTAATGTATGAGTTGATGGCTATACATTGCCCTCGAGGTACAGGCTTAGCCATATCATGCAAGTTTCGGTGTATCGTATCCTCATTATCATTCAGTTCAGAATACCTATAATTTCCTTTGTGGTTTCTTCTTTTTTCCAAAGCTTAATTTTAAGTGCATTGTCTAATGTCCAAACAGTTGGGAGTTTCTAATTTACCTTCTATTCATCAATTTTAAAGTTGATTCCATTGTGATGAGAGAACAGATTCTAAAGTCTCAGTGACTTCAGGCTGTCCTCTGAGGTAGTGAGCCTTGGACTATGGCCCAACACACAGATGGTTTTGGCAAATGCTCCATAAGCACTTGAAAAGGTGTGCCCACTCCCTCACGGACCTCCAGTTTTCTAAGTGTCGGTTAGGCCCCTTTCCGTAATCATGTTCTCCAGAACTTCTCTAGTCTATTCAGATTTCTGCCCGCACATTCCGCCTGCTATTTAGAGCAGCGTATGGAAGTGGACCGTGGATTTGTCTAGTGAGATCCTTTCTTATTCTGTTGATTATTGCTTTGTTCGCTTTGAAGCTAAATTATTGGGTACACATAGCTCGCTGCAACTCCCTGCGAATTGTCTCCTTTACAATTATGACATGACTCTCCGATTCAGAGTAATGCTACTTGCCTGCGAGCCTCCCTCTGCCTGATAATAACACAGTTACTTCAGCTTTCTTTTGATCCGTGCTGGCAGAGAATATATTTTTCTACCCTTTTATTTCACACTTTCTGGGTGCTCAATATTTAAAGTAAATCTCTCCTGGGCAGCATATAGCTGGCATTTTAAAAGATACACTGTGACAGTGTTAGTCTTGTACTTGAGTACTTAGTCCATTTTGCATTTATTTAATTACTGGAGTCATAGAAGGAAAGGAAGACGCGTGAGGAAATCATGGCTGAAATTTCCTAATTTGGGGTAAAAGGACTAAATGTATATTCAAGAAGCTCAGAAAATCCAAGTAAGATAAATACAAGCAAAATCACAGACACACTGCTGAAAGCCAAGGTCAAAGAGAGAAATGTCTAAAGCAGCGTATGGAAATGACATTTTACAAATGGGGGAACAAGGCTTTGAATCCCCATTCACTGCTCATCAGAACAGTGGAAGCCAGAAACAGTGGGACAGTACATTTGATGAACTTGCTGGAAAGGAAACAAAAAGTCTCTCCACCCAGAATTTACACCCAGCAAAAGTCTCCTTTAGAGAGAAGGGGGACTAAAGGCGTTTTCAGATACAAACACACAAAGATAACTTATCACAGCAGACCTTCACTATAGAACGTTCAGGGAAGTTTCAGGTTGAAGGAGTTTGAAGCTAGGTGGCGGCTCAGACGACATGAAGGAATAAAGAACATTGGAAATGGTGAGTAACCGACTAAACAGAAAGGCCTATTTTTTCTTAATTTAAACAGGATGTTTAGGGTAAACACAGCACTGTCTTGTGGGGTTTATACTGTAAGTAGATGTAACAAGTGAGGATAAAGGACAGGAGGGGGAGACCCATACGCTCCCTGCATTTTATCTGGAGTGGTTCACTGTGCACTCTCAATAGACTGTGAGAAGTGAGGGTCTGTATGGTAACCCTTAGAAAGGAGGGACGCAGAGGCCTCGCAGACATGTGCTGCTCACACCTGGGGACCAGGGGCTGCTCTCACGGAGGCTCTGCGGTAGCTGGGCGGAGCTGAGTCACTTCCTCAGTTTCTCGGGAACACGAACTCAGAACCAGTGAGGTGCAGTACAGCGCCTGTCCACCAAGAGCCCAGCGCTGACCCCAGGGAATGGCAAGGTCTCGCGAGGAATCGGTCCACCGTTGAAATGATATCCTGGGGATGCAGGGACTAGTTGGCGAATCAGAATGTGCCAGGCCACAGGTGGTTACGCTTTGAGGAACTTTCTCAGGGAAATGCTTCCTAGGAACGACCGAAGGACACCACTTGAACGCCTAAAGGTTTTGAAATCTGTTTATAAATGGTGCCGTTTAGCCTTATGTTGTATTGCAAATTGCCTCCAAGGGTTGTGATCGAGCTAGTGGGCGTCTGCTGTGTTCATCTGAGAGATGCGAGCAGGCAAGGGGGGCATTGGGGGGGGCCTGGTGCCGGGGGTGCTCGGGGCCTCTTCTGGAGATGGAGACGTCCTGGGCCTGGTCCGCCGCTGCGCTCTGCACAGAGAGGGGACTGTGCGCCTGGGCCAGGGCCAGGCCGCCTGCGGAGGGTGTGTGTGTGTGTGGGGGGGGGGCTCTCCCCCCACCACGCCTCCCAGCCCTCCAGGCTGTGAAGCATTTGCCTACAGACACTTCCTTACTCTCCATCACATATGTTTTCATGGAAGGCTGAGCAGGAGGAATTTGCGATGAATAATTCATGTGTAGTTGTTTTCAAAATGTAAAGTTATTTTTCTTTTTAGGAAAAAATCTTTATTGTTGAAAGTATTGCAGATGTCCCCTTTTCCCCCATTAACCCCTTCTAGCCCGCCCCACCCCCACCCCCACCCCCACCCCCGCCCCGGGCTTTCACCACACGTTAGTGTCTGTGTCCATGGGTTATGCATGTACGTTCCATAAAGTTATTTTTCAAAGAAAGCAATCTGTCCATTTTGCTGCTTCCACGCGGGCCGGGCCACAGCTGTCTGTCGGAGGACTTGCATGGCCCCACTGGGACAGCTCCTCACAGGCTGGGACGGGGTGCGTGTGCAGATGGCAGGGACCTGCCAGAACTTCAGTCACATGCAGCCTGCCGAGTCCCCAGGCAGGCCCTTGATGGTCTTGGAATCCAGCTCTGCTCCCCATGAGGCTCCCAGGCAAAGCAGCAACACCTGCATACCCCCGTTTTCCTGCTTTCTGATCCTGCACCAAGCACACCCTGCGGCTTGTTTACACACACGCACGCGCGCACACACGCCCAGCCGACTCCAGGGCTTGACCAACTGGGCGGTAAGATACAATGAGCTGCTGTCTGTTGTAGTCAGTGTATTACTGACTTACACAGCCTACGGTGCCAGCTCCCTGCGTCCCAGTCCCGCACACCAAAAAGGACCACACCGAAACAGGAGCTGACAGCCGCCCTGCAGGTCGCGGGTACCCTGTGCAGCTAGGTGCTAGGTGGGCATGTAGTCCGCAGCTGTAGTGAGAGAAGGAGGGCAGAAGGCTCCGTCCCTCATCAGAACCCGGGCAAGGCTCCCATCTTGGTGTTCCAGGAATCTCTGTGGTGTTCTACCACGGCCAGGTTAGCTCTCACTGTGTGACTGATGTGGGTACATGAGAGGTGCCAGGGCTCTGAGACAGAGCTGCTCCCCAGAGGCCTTATTCCAATCATGGAGTTGAGCATAGTGCTTGATAAGAACTGGCTTTGAAACCAGGCCTGTCATTTCCTAGTAATGTAACTGGGGCAAGTCACTTGAACTCTCTAAGCCTCGGTTTCCACATCTTTAGAATGGGTTAGTAAGAGTGACTTCCTTCATATGCCCTGGCATGGGATGGGGGTGGGGCTCATGCGATTCTATGTTCTTTTCCTGGAAGAAAAGCCGTGTTTTCTCATTCAAATTGCAAGGCTTATTATAAGTATTCACTGAGACTTGAAAATGCCTGTGAGGAACTTAGCACAATGCCTGGCACGGAGCATTGCTACACGAAGATGATGATGATGGTGTTTGTGATGGTGACGGTGGTGATGGTTATGATGATGATGGTGACAGTGATGGTGCTGATGTTTATGATGATGGTTATGATGGTGATAATGATGGTGATGGTGATGATGGTGATAGTGATGTTGGTGATGATGCTGTGAAGATGGTAATGGTGATGATGGTGACGATGGTAATGGTGATGATGAGGATAAAGACGTGATGGTGGTGATGGTGGTGATGGTAATGGTGGTGATGATGGTGATGGTGCTGATGGTGAAGAAGATGGTAATGGTGGTGATGGTGATGATGGTAACGGTGATGATGAAGATGGTGATGAGGAGGATAAAGATGGTGATGGTGATGATGGTGGTCGTGATGATGAAGTGTCCTATCTCACTTCACCCTCCTGTTTCCTTTCCCCGTTTAGCTCTCTCCCCTGAACGCAGTCAGTGGTGCTGATCCTGCTATGCCTCTGCTCTCTGGCTTCCTCTGGCTTCCTGTGCCGTCAGACCCCTGACATTTGTTATCAGCTGATCTGCGTGTCCCCAGGCCTCCAACACACACTTTCTTCAAAACCCATCTCCAGACGCGGCTCTCCCAGACAGCCTTCCTTCATATGCCCTGGCATGGGATGGGGGTGGGGCTCATGCGATTCTATGTTCTTTTCCTAGAAGAAAAGCCGTGTTTTCTCATTTAAATTGCAAATACTTTGAGAGCAGCAGGGATGGTGCCTTCTGTCCCGCCTGTCTCCTCCTAGCATCATTTCTGGGGTCTCACCTCCAGGCAGAGAATTGACTGGCCATTGGCAAAAGGGTGACATCAACATCTGTCCCTTGAACAGCCCATCCCATCTCCTGGGACAGTGTCGTCTAGATAATTGCCCCCCACCTCCACACACACACACAGACACGTACACAGGATGGAAACGGTAAGCGGTCGGTGCGTGTGGTGAGGGAAGGGATCCTGGGTAACGGTCAGTGAGTGGCGTGTCTCAGGAGAGAAAAGAAGTGCCGTGGGTGCCCCCAAAAACAAGGCTTGCCATGTAAACTGTCCATCAGAATGAAACTTTCATCACAATGTTAGTGTTTCCTCCACAAACTGCCTTGCTTTATTTTGTCCCTGTTTCCCAGGATACATGTGAATATAAATCTAACTTAAGAGACTCGAAAGCCATTGCAGTCCCAGCACGTGTGGATCTCAGTGACTCGGATGGCCCGGCCCCGAGGAGGTCTGCAGTGCTGCTGCAGCTGAATGCCGTGCAGACAGGCCCCAGGCTGGGCGCCCGCTGGCTCCCTTGTTCGCTCACTGGCACAACAAGCAAAACTTGTACAGGGTCAGAGACCCAGGCACCGGGCCTGCCACAGGAGCCTGTGGGTGGGGCAGACAAGCACCGATTGCAGGCCAGCACAGGGCTGCGGGGCTGCGGGCTCGGCCGGGACCCAGACCACATAACCGCCGCCCCTCCCGGTCTCCCTGCCAGGTGCTGGAAAATAACGGGATGCCTATGGATGATGACCAGTACGCTCAGCTGACTGCAACCCTCGGATATAAGAAAGAAGGGATGAATTACCTGGATCTCGCAGCAGGATTTGAAGGTAGCTCATCGCCAAGGGCAAACCCTGCTGGCGCGTCTCCCCAGGTGGCACCCCAGTCTTTCTGAGCCCTGAGAAGGTCCCTGCGGCGGGACTGGGCGAGCGAGAGCCCAGGGCTGGGCGTGGCGCCCGCTCAGGCTGGGACAGGCACTTGGTTACTTCTATCCGACTGCGTGTTGGTCTTCTTGCTTTTTTAGGTAAGCTTAGTTGTGACGCAGGATTTTGCCTGACAGAGCCATCTACAAACTCAGAGCCAAATGGTGTGTAAAATCCACTCCAAAGCCCTCTGAGCCTTAAATCCCACCCCATGTTCTTTAAGATTTTCCTTCTTAAAAAACTGCTGGGCCCAGCCCGTGTGGTTCAGTGGTGGGAACGTCAGCCCACATACTGAAGGGTCATGGGTTCAATTCCCGGTCACAGTCACGAACCTGGGTTGCAGGTTTGACCCCCAGTCGAGGCACGTATGGGAGGCAACAATCAATGTGTCTCCCTCACATCAGTGTTTCTCTGTCTCTCCCTCCCTCCCTTCCACTCTGTTTAAAAATCAGTGGAAAAAATACCCTCCGGTGAGGATTAACCAAGAAACCAAATCCGCAGGTTATCTGCGATGAATGGCACCTGGCATGGCAGGGCACGCGGCCTTCTCTGCTGGCCTCCTGCCGCTGAGAACACAGGTTCTGTAAGACTCAGTGACGAGCCCAAGGCCCACCCCGCCCCCTCTCCCCTTCCCAAAGGGCTGTCAAGAAGTCCGCCCTGTACAGCGCGGTCAAGGCCGGAAGCCGGGTCCTCCCGTGTGCCCTGCCCCTCGCTCTGCTCCCCTGGCCGCGCGCCTGGCAGACACAGGAGGCGTGTGTGGCCTCCTCTCGGCCACGTCCTCTGTCCCCTCCTCTCCATCTTACTGACGCCGCTTCCTCCTGTGCGGGGCAGGGAGAGGGAAAGACAGCCGAGCCACGCGGAAAAGCTATAGGAATCATGCAGACACGTCAGCGGGGCTCTCCTGTCCCGCTGCAAGCGCGCTGCAGGCTGCCCTGGCAGAGCCCGGAGCCGTGGGCATCTCCCAGCGTCTGGAGCTTGGTCAGGCGGTGCCCTGGGCTCCGCCAGAGTGGCGCTGGGCTCCTCACCGGGGGGACGTGGAGGTCCCCCTGCCCCCTGACCTCCATCTGCCAGGCCCAGGGGGACAGCGGTCCCCACGTGAGGTAAAGGCCATGCCAGAAGCCATCGCATTTGGAATGGTGACGTGCTGACAGGGTATATGTTTTGAAGGAAAAGGAACCACATTTATTTCAGGGAGTGTATCCAGTGTGCCAGGTGCTTCCATTTCTCAGGGAGGGAAGGGGGGCCAGGCGGGTCGGTCACTGCCGGCGGTCCCTGCGCACTGAGCCCGCTGCACAGGGGAACTCGAGCATAGCTGCCGGCTGCTCCCGGCCCCACCTGTTCTTTCCCTCCTCCTCCTCCTCCTCCTCCACCACCACCTCCACCTCCACCTCCTCCTCCATCAGTCCCAGTGCTGCCTGTCTCCCACGTGGTTGGTGGGATTGAGGTTCCGGCCAGAGGTCCGGGGGTGGGGGGGACATGGCCAAGCAGCTCGGGAGGTGCTACCTGCCAGGCACACCGAGCCTGGGGGAGGCCCCTGCAGGCCCAGGCGGAGCGGACAGAAGCCAGGTTCACCCCGGGCCACAGGATGCCGCGAGCTCCGGGCGCACTGCCCACGTCCAGCCCGCAGACGCGTCCGTGGGGGGCAGAAAGGGGGTTGCTACCTTGCAGAACCACGTCTGAAACTACGTCCCAGTTCACAGGCTCCAGACAGGGCCGCACTCGCCGTCCCACCTGATGGACGGATGGGTTTCTGAGCACGTCCTGCTGCCTTCCTGGTTTCAGGCGCCAGCACCGGCCCGACGCAGTAACTGAGCAGCTGGGCCCGGGGCCGGCGGGCCTGGTTCAGCCGTGCTGTCCGTGAGCGCTCACCTTGGGGAGTTGGGCCCCCTGAGCTCCAGCTCCTCACCCTAAAGGGGGCATAACAGTAGCCTTCCTCCGAGCAAGCTGGCACGGAGGAGACTCCGTCTCAGCTTGAAAGGGCCAAGCGCAGGATTGAGCAGGTTCCTGGGCAGGAAACGGCCGTTGAATTAGTGAATGTCGACTGAACCCCACCTTCTGGGTTCAGGACATGATTCCAGGAAACAAAACCCAGGCAGGAGTTCTGTCCTCGGCCTGCTGGGGTGAGCGAGACTTGTCCCTGCCCCGGAGGAAGGACGGGGGGCGGGATGAGGGCGCGTGCGAGGGCCGGGGCAGCACGTGCTGGGCAGGAGCGAGGCCCACCGTCCGGAGGGCAGGCTCCTCCTGAGAGGGAAGTGTCCGAGGAGCTGAGGGACAGGACAGCGGGTCCCAGCACAGTTCCGTGTGGTCAGCTGCAGCCCGGAGCCCGTGTGGGTGGCTTATGGGCCTCGGGCGGGAGAATGCATTGCTGGCGTAGAGGTGGAGGTGCGCAGGGCCCTGGAGACGGGCCTCTGACCTACGCGATCGTTTCAGAAGCTAAAACGAATGGGCTGCAAGTGACTGCATCTCAGACCTCAGTTCTTCCAAAAAACAACCTGGCCAGCTACTTCGTGACCGCCGAGGAGTGCCTGCGGCTTCTGCCCCAGAGACTGAGGGAAAACTTCCCGGTAAGCGCGGCCCGGCTCCTGCCCGGCTCAGCTGGCCACTCGCCGCCTGGGCTGTGACCCCTGAGCCCATCTGGTCCGGCTCCTCCCAGGACACAGTGCTCCCTCCGCCCTCCCTGCGGCCTTTCCCTGAGGTCGGTACACGGGCTGTCCAGGCCTCACTTAGGGATGATGGGGGCACGGGCTATATGGGGCCTCACTTAGGGATGATGGGGGCATGGGCTATATGGGGCCTCACTTAGGGATGATGGGGGCACGGGCTATATGGGACCTCACTTCGGGATGATGGGGGCACGGGCTCTATGGGGCCTCACTTCGGGATGATGGGGGCACGGGCTCTATGGGACCTCACTTCGGGATGATGGGGGCACGGGCTATATGGGACCTCACTTAGGGATGATGGGGGCACGGGCTCTATGGGACCTCACTTCGGGATGATGCGGCTATGGGATGGGGGCACGGGCTGTATGGGGCCTCACTTGGGATGATGGGGGCACGGGCTCTATGGGGCCTCACTTAGGGATGATGGGGGCACGGGCTCTATGGGGCCTCACTTTGGGATGATGGGGGCACGGGCTCTATGGGGCCTCACTTTGGGATGATGGGGGCACGGGCTGTATGGGGCCTCACTTCGGGATGATGGGGGGCACGGGCTATATGGGGCCTCACTTTGGGATGATGGGGGCACGGGCTGTATGGGGCCTCACTTAGGGATGATGGGGGCACAGGCTGTATGGGGCCTCACTTTGGGATGATGGGGGCACGGGCTATATGGGACCTCACTTAGGGATGATGGGGGCACAGGCTGTATGGGGCCTCACTTTGGGATGATGGGGGCACGGGCTGTATGGGGCCTCACTTCGGGATGATGGGGGCACGGGCTGTATGGGGCCTCACTTTGGGATGATGGGGGCACGGGCGTTCCTGGGCCGCCGCGGGGCTGGGAGGGCTCTGACGGGCGCTCTGTTGCAGAACCTGTTCGCGGCCTTCTTCCGCATGGACGCCAACGGGGACGGCATCATCGGCATGCAGGACCTGCACCGGCTGCTGGAGCACCTGCTCTTCAACCTCAAAGACGACCAGTTCCAGCGCCTCGTGGCCCTCCTGGGCTTGAGGCTCAGCGTCACGTTGAATTTTCGGGAATTTCAAAATCTGTTTGAGGCGACGCCACCCACAACAGACGACCCGCCTCAACGACTCATCAGGTAAGAAGGCGGCGCAGTTCGCGTCGGGCCGTCTGCCGCCTTTGCCAACAGCGGCCCGCCTCTCCGCTGCCCACAGGGCACACAGAGCACAGCCGCCTCCCGAGCCGCTGTTCTGTCCTCGTAGTCAAGTAGACACCCGAAGGGTAGCGTCCAGTGCAGGAGGCCTGGACACGCAGGGCAGCGGAGAAGACACCCGATCGACCGCTCTCCCTGTCACTCCGTCCTCGTTCTGCGCGGGACCTGCATGCACTCGCATGGGCTTCTTTCTATAAATCGGGCTCAGCGGTGCCGACGGCTCTGGGAGCTGCAAGGACCCCTTCCAGCCCTTTCCCAGCCACGGCCACTCCCCGGCCCCATCCACCTGGCCAGCCTCGCGCAGCCAGGAGGCGACCCGGGCTCCCTTCTCCCCTCTGTTTCCTCGATGAGAGCACAGACCCCAGGCGGTGACAGGCCTCCCGTCCTCCCTGGGACCCGTGGATGTCATCACGAAGGAACGGAGTGGCCGTTCAGCCCTCCTTGAGCAGCCATTCTAAGTATAATGTCAATATTGGAATGTTGTCCCCGTGGTAATAGGTGTGTTTTCTGCTATAACAACATGACACGGCGGCCCCAGGGCTCCAGACACTGCGCCCAGCAGCGAGCCCCTAAGCCCCTGTGACGGCACCCAGGCTGCAGGCAGCCCCGTGGCCGCACACGTCTGCCTCCGGCATGTGCTGGGTGTGTTTGCTGCTACCCACACGGCAGGCAGGAAAGACGACGGAGCCTCTTCCCGAGGGAATATGGGCCCGTGAGCTGCCACCTGCTTCTAGCTGCTCGGTTCCGAGGAGCGCTCCCGTGAGCCCTGCCTGCTTCACATGGGCCCACACAAAAGCTGGTCCTCGGAAGGGGTTCTCTGAGGATGCGGGCAGGACGAACACAGAGCATCTCCAGCACAAAGCGCCATCTTCCCATTCAGATCATCAGCTCCTTACTTGTCGTCTTTCATCCATTCGTCAGATCTTTACTGAGGCCGAGTGTGCTAGGCGTTGCCGCTGGAAGGTGCTGCAAAGATGAACGAGACGAACACTTGCTCTGAGGGGCTCTTGGTTGAATGGGGGACACGTGCAAAGGAAGACCTCCACTCCAGTGCACGGTGTCTGAGAGCCACAGGCACCGCCTGCTGAGGGCACAGGGAAAGTGGGGCATCTGAGTCGGGTCTTGAGGTGTGAGTAAGAGTTTTCAGATACAGCTACCAGAACAGTGGGTCAAGGCCAGGGAACAGCATTTGCAAAATCACAGAGATGGGAGCACATTCAAACGGGGAGACAGTGTGTGTGCAGGAGCAGCGGGCATGTGGAGCGCAGTGAGAGGGGAGGCAGGGGCAGGGGCATGGCAGGGAGTGTGGGGGAGGGCTGGAGTCCAGGGCAATGGTGAAGGGGCTGGAGTGCCGGGGTGAGGAGTCCATTGGTGGCAGGAGAGGGTTTGTGTCGTGGACTGGGGGTGACATTGTGCTGTGGGAAGAGCCTGGAGCAGCCCCAGAGCAGGGGATGGACATGAAGGAGAAGCCGGAGCCCAGGGGCACCCGGTGTGGGTCCTAGACGCCCGCCAAGGTGCTGCTCTAGGAAGCCGAGTCCTCCCCCACCCCCCCAGCCAGGCCTGTGCCTGCGCTTCAGGAGGACGTCCCTGTGCTCCCCAGCCACCTGAGCATTGTCTGACTCCAGGGGAAGGAATTGGGGCCGAACACCAGTTAGCGACTTGCCCGGACGGCCCGTGGCAGGGCGAGGGGGAGCCCAGGGTGCCTGTGGGAGGGGCCGCTTTCTCTGCCTGGAGACCCCATCCTCTCACCTCCTCATCCTCTCACCTCCCCAGCCGGGCCGCCCACCCCTTTCGGGACGCCACCTGCCCTCTGGGGCCCTCTGCCCTCCAGGCCGTCCCTTCCCACCTGCAGCGCCAGGAAGCAGGACTCGGAAACCCTAAGGCTTCGTCATGTTGTAGAGAGAGGAAGACGTCTGTTTGCTTCAGACGCAAACCCTTTCACATTCGGGCGTGTGAATACTAATCGGAGTGCTGGGCGCCATTGCCCGGTTCCCTCTCCCCCCCCCCCCCCCCCCCCGTTGCCCTGTGTGAGGTTCCCTTCTCCCGTCCGCTCCCCCCGTCGCCCTGTGTGAGGTTCCCTTCTCCCGTCCGCTCCCCCCGTTGCCCTGTGTGAGGTTCCCTCTCCCGTCCGCTCCCCCGTCGCCCTGTGTGAGGTTCCCTTCTCCCGTCCGCTCCCCCCGTTGCCCTGTGTGAGGTTCCCTTCTCCCGTCCGCTCCCCCCGTCGCCCTGTGTGAGGTTCCCTTCTCCCGTCCGCTCCCCCCGTTGCCCTGTGTGAGGTTCCCTTCTCCCGTCCGCTCCCCCGTCGCCCTGTGTGAGGTTCCCTTCTCCCGTCCGCTCCCCCCGTTGCCCTGTGTGAGGTTCCCTTCTCCCGTCCGCTCCCCCCGTTGCCCTGTGTGAGGTTCCCTTCTCCCGTCCGCTCCCCCCGTTGCCCTGTGTGAGGTTCCCTTCTCCCGTCCGCTCCCCCCGTTGCCCTGTGTGAGGTTCCCTTCTCCCGTCCGCTCCCCCGTTGCCCTGTGTGAGCACACCTGCCCGCCCTGGCCTGAAGCCGACGCCCAGTCCGCGGTGGCTCATGTCAGAAGCGGTGAAGCAACAGGCCGTGCGTCCTCTGTCCGGATAGTCGTAGGTGCTACCACAGGTGCTACCACTGTGCCGTGCGCTTCCCACGGCGGCAGCAGGTGGGGAGGAAGCAGTCGTGTGGGTCCCTCCCGCCGTGGGAACCACGGGACTGTGTCTCCCATCCCTCTGGTTGGAGAGAGAATTTCAGTCGTAGGTCCTGGTTTGGGCACCAGGAGATCTGGGCTTGCCCTGGCTCGGGGCCTGGAGAGTAAAAAGAGACATAAACAGGGTTTCCCCCACCTTCCCTGTGCTGCAGGGGCTGCCTGCCTGGTCCTTTCTCTGCCCGTCCACGGCACAGTCCCAGAATGAGGGCGCCCTGGGTCCTGAGCTGGGGGTGTGGGAGGAAAAGACCCCGGCCTCGCCCCTTGCACCGGCCTCCTAGTGTTTGCTCTCGTGTCCTCAGGGAGTCAGGTCTGTGTCTGTCCAGAGTTGTGTGTTGTCTTGAGTGGGCGAGAAAGGCAGGTGTGTCCCCTGCTCCCCGGGACCAGAGCTGGCTCTGCCTGGGATGCTGCTCCCGAGACCTCCCCGCCCCACCCCGAGCCACGCCCTGGCCACCTTGGCTGGCGTCCCTCCGTCCATCATCCTCTGCCACATTCAGCAGCTGGAGTCATCGGATCCACTGTCCTGTGTTGCTGTCAGTTTCCCGCCATCTCCTTGGGGACGGGCTCTGTCCACGCTGCTCGTCACGCTGGCTGGGGACGGAGGCTTGCTTGTGTCTGTGACCGCGGGACTGGCTGCTGGGAGGTCTGGCTCTGATGTCAGGATCCAGAGACCCAGCTATAGGAGAGGAAATGAGTGACTTCAGGAAACGCTGCGGAGGGACCGCCAGCTCTCTAGAGGAGGCAAGTGTAGAAAATGGAGAAAGGGAGGAAGGACTGAGAAATCAGCAGGGGCCCTGGTGGGAGCACGGTCACCAAGAAAACCAAGGCCATGGCTAGAAGATGCCTTGGGAGGGGGCTGTTTGCATAGGCGCTGAGATGGGGAGGGAGGTCGGTGTGGATGCGCTGACCTCGCCGCCCAGGGTCTCCCCGAGAGCACTTTGGGGGAGTCCAGGTGCGTCCCCTGGTGCAGGTGGGGTTAAGGAAGAGCCTCAGGTGAAGGCTGGGGAATGAGCATCATTGGGGACCATGAAACGGCAGCAGGGTCCCGCCGGGCTGCCAGCGCCTCCGGCAGGGAGGGTGCGAGCGGCCAGGCTGGTGGCCTTGGAATTCCGTGTGAGTCTGGTGGGCAGTTGGGGGAGATGCAACGGAAAAGCAGGTGAGCGCTCAGGCCTCGTGGTCCAGGCGTGTGGGGACTGGCGTTGCGGCCGTGGGACCATGCGAGGGGGTGGCCTCTCAGGAGAGTAAATGACCCTCAGGGAGAAGGAGGGAGAAGGTCAAGGGCTGCGGGCCAGGAGAGGGAACATCACGCCAAGGCCAGGCCGGGCGCTGTTCCCGCCGAGGCCGCACGGAAAGCCAGCGTCACGAAGGCCAGGGGAGAGACGGGTAAAGTGTCACTCGCCACAGGAAAGTCAGCAAAGGCCCCGGACTGGGCAAGACGGAGGAGACGTGAGTTCAAGCCTGGAGCAGGGTCTCCGTAAAGAGGGGGGTGCCCCGCAGGCGCTCACTCGCCGTCTCAGCAGTGACAAGGGCGCAGGGGGAGCCCTCGTCTCCGCGTCTCCGCGGGGCCTCAGCGCCTGCCGCAGAGAAAACGCGAGAATGTTTGCCTGCCGGACCACGGAGGTTGTTTCTGTCACTCACCGAGGAAACGCTGCTTGGCCAAGACCTTCCCATGTGACACGGCGACAGTAGCGCAGTGTGGGCGTCCGGGCACGATGGTCACAGGAGCTCGGTGAGCGCTGGGAGCTGGCCCCGTTGGCACAGAAGTGTGGGCACGGATGTCCTGGAGGCACCGGAAGGAGCGGCGGGTGAGGGCGGTGTTGCTGCTGAGCTTGTGGGTGCTCGTCGCGGGGACCTGCTGCTGCCCGCTGGAGCGTGTGCGGGTGGCGGGCGTGCCAGCAGCGCCCGGGCCCAGGGCCGCGCTGCAGTCCTGGGTGGTGCTGCCCGTCTGTCTGTCCGTGGGAGCAGAACTGCTACGTGGAGGAGGCTCCTGAGCGCAGCGCCACCCGAAGGCGGCCCCACGCCTGCGAGTGTAGGTGCCAAGATCTCCCCCTGGGAGGAGTGACACTGAAGGGGACCCCGAAGAGGTGGTTTCGGATACAAAGCAGAAGGCGGTGAGCGAGGCTGGGCTGGAGGGAATGCCGAGGCAGCTCCCACCTCCAAACCGCAGCCTCTGCAGCGGCGACGGCAGCCCAGCCCAGCCCAGCGCTGCCAGCCCGGACGCTGCGGCCAAGCTCCCCCGCTGGCCGTGGGGTTCAGTGTCGTCGTCACCGGGACCTGTGCTCCCAGCCCCGCGTCCCAGGCAGAGGGTCACGCTCGCAGCAGCGCGGCGGAGAGTCACAGACCTCTGTCGGTCCCGCAGCGGGGGCCAGGCACTGCTGCGTGTTCTCACCTGGGAGCGGGGTAGGGTGGGGGTGCTGTTCAGCCTGGTTTTCCTGGGCCCCTCATAGAGAAATCACGTGAGGGTCTCCATGGGCCTCAGCCGGATCCCCTCTTGTCCCCGCAGGCAGGTGCCTGCAAGGAAGTGTGCGCCCCGGTTTGCGCACACGTAGCCGCAGGTCAGGGAACTGCCCCTGATGGGGGGGGAGGGGGGGAGTGCGGGGGGTGCGGGGTGCAGGGAAAATGCTGCCGGTGCAGACCTGGGCATGGGGGAGCGCAGGTCCCCAACGGAGTGACAGGTGCCACTGCGCCAGGCACCTCCCGGGAGAAGTCTGAGGGCGTGACAGGTCTCACACTCCCCTACCTGGTTTTGGGGAGTAAGAATCCAGGCACCCGCCTTCCTTCAGCCTCAGCCTTTGAGGCGGGAGCACAGGCTTTTATTTATTTATTATTTTTTAAATTGAATTCAGAGAGGAAGGGAGAGACAGAAACATCAGCCCAGGCATGTGCCCTGCCTGGGAGTCAAACTGCAACCTCCTGGTTCACCGGTTGACGCTCAACCACGGAGCCACGCCCGTGGGGCCACAGGCTCTGTCCTTGGCTCGCGTCATCCTGGGAGTAAATCCACAGGCCCGGGTGACCTTGCCGCCTGCAGCCTCGCCTTTGTGCTGAGCTGAGGCAGGCGTCTGAGGCGCTGCCCCATCGTCCCCCATCGTTGCCTCAGTCCGAACTGTCCCGTGACGTGTGACCTCAGAAGTAGTTTTCAGCAGTTTTCTTCCGAAGACACCGATGTTGTATTGTTTTTCCCTGTCTGCTTCGTGAGCTGCAGAAAAAAATTTAATCACATTTATCTGAAAATAAACGAGGACTTGTCACATTTACTAAGACTTCCCTAACGTACAGCTGGGGAGATCAGACCGTCTTTTAAGCATTAAGTTAGACCAGGTGCGGACCAGGACTCTAACGGGGTCTCTGATACGGGGCAGGGGACTCCTTGGGAGATGGATGAGCCCATTCCGTGTAAGCACAGCTACTCACTGATTTATTTCTCTTTTAAGACAAAAGCAGAAGGTCACAGATTCAGAACTAGCTTGCGAGCAGGCTCACCAGTACCTTGTCACCAAAGCAAAAAACAGGTGGACAGACTTGTCGAAGGTAAGAGCGCGATCGTTTCCTTGGAGGCAAGGAAACCTCTTTCAGGTTCTGAGATCCCTGGGTGACCGAGCCGCCAGATCCGGTCCCGAGACGGGGGGCGGCCTTGCACCCCCGGCCACAGGGCCTTGCAGTCGAAATGCTTTCAAACAGATGCCCACACTCAAGGCCAGTCGCGGTGCAGGGCAGTCAGTGGTGGTGGGAGTCAGGGCCGGGAATGCCTGTCTGTGTCTCCGGTTTGGCAGGAACTAGAAACGCCAGTGAGCGTGTGAGAGGCTGTCAGACCCCTTTCACAGGGCGATGAGCCTGCACTTTAAGCGGCATTCCCTCTGTGCTGCCCAGAGGGTGGACAGCCCTTCAAGGTGAGCGCCCTCCTGTGTCCGGATGGGAAACAGTGTAACCACCACAGCGACCCCTGCAGGCCGCAGACCGGGTGCGCCGGGGGCCCGGCTTCCCAGTGCCACACAATGGCCTCACTTGGAAAGTATCTTTAAACGGCGTGAGGGAAGTCTTTCCGCGTTATTTTGAACAATGTCCCCGCATTGTTTCATTTGGTCATTTTCTTCCTGTGTTTGCTGTGCCTTGGCCTGTGCCCAGGTGAAGGTCGCTCTGTGAAGTCCTTCTGAGCTCCTCGGCTCCCCGCCCCCTCTCCCCGCCCCCTCTCCCTAGTGCTCTATCCCCCATCCCCTGTCCCCCGTCCCCTGTCCCCTCTCCCCGCCCCCTCTCCCTAGTGCTCTATCCCCCATCCCCTGTCCCCCGTCCCCTGTCCCCTATCCCCATCCCTACCCCCACCCCCACCCCCGTCCCCTGTCCCCTGTCCCTGTCCCCTCTCCCCGCCCCCTGTCCCTAGTGCTCTACCCCCCATCCCTATCCCCCGTCCCCTGTCCCCTATCCCCATCCCTACCCCCACCCCCTGTCCCCTGTCCCTATCCCCTGACCCCGTCCCCTCTTAGGCCAGCCCATTGTGCCTCATGCAGCTCACAGGCCAGGAAGGTGACGGCTGATGAGAAAGGCAGGGCACAGAGCAGACAGGCACTGTGGGGAAGAGGGACAGGCCGATGGAGAGGGGCTGGGGCTGCGGGCAGAGGTCCTTGTCCTGCCTGGCCTGCCGTCCCTCATCCTTGAACCACTTCCTCCGCCCCACACACTCCTTCAGCTGCCCCCTCCGGGCGGCTTGACCTCGTCCCTCTCTGTGGACCCCCCTCCTCGGCGGTGTGTCCGCAGATCCCCAGCCACGTGGGTGGGTGGGGCCCACGCTGTGCTGCCAGGCAACCCCCCTCTCTGCACTGGGCGGGCGGGGATGTGGGAAGGAAGGGGACACAGGTGACAGAGGAAGGGCGTCTGTGGAGGGAGGGCCAGGAGCCTCCTTGTCGGAACAGAGCACAGCCACACCTGTCCCCTCTCTGGGCCCGCAGGACTGACGGACCCTGCCTGTGCCCTCCCTGCATGGGGCCCTGCCACTCCTTGGCTTACGCGGAGTGAAGCTCTGGTGGAGTTAGTGCTGGGCTCTAACCTGCAGACAGGACGATTCATGCGGTGCCGTGCCGCCCGGGGGCAGCAGGGGCGGGTCACGCGTGGTCCCCTGCTCTGGGCTTCTGGCCTGTGGCCTGTGTAGGTCGCAAAAGTGACCAAAGGCCTGGAGTCGCCCTCCCTCTGCTGCACGGCTGTTGGGAGCTCAGCTAGCAGGGCCCGCTGACCCCCAAACGGATGCAGGACCCGGCATTGAGCCATCTTCACAGTCACCTGGCTGCCCAGCCTCGCTCAGCCCCGGGCAGCACAGCTGAGTCCTTGGAGACACAGGAGCTGTCCCCGGGGGCAGCGTAATCGGCTCATTCTAGTTAAGTGTTTGCAGGAAATAAGTTCTTCGGTTTCTTCAGCAAACATTATTATGAGCTCACTACGCACTGTTGCAGGGTGTTAAAGCCACAGACAAAAAGACAGGGTTGTGCCTGCACAGACGTGGGGTGCAGCAGGGGCGTTGGGGTTGTGCACACTGCGATGGGGGGGCTCTCCTGTGATGGGGCTCCGGGAGGGAGAGGCCACCGGGAGGACCGCAGGTGCTGGGCAGGGTCCGGATGCGGAGGCTGTGGGGACTGAACCAAGGCCAGGCCCGGGGACGGCCCGCATGGGGCCGGGGACCGGTCCCAGCAGGCCTCAGTGCTGTAAGCTTTTGTTGTTGTTGTTAAATTGCCGTCAATTCACAGCATAAAGTGACATCTTAGCCATTGTTAAGCCACCCGTTTAGTGGTGATAAGTGCGCTCACATTGTTTTTAAAGGGGCTTGGAGATCATCCAGACCTAATTTCTTGAAGCTTAATTCTTTTTTAAGATGTGACTCTACAGTAGATACAATAATATATGTATATGAACACATACACTGAGTGGCCAGATTATTATGACCACCTGACGTTTGTAGGCAAATTAGCTATAATTTCACACTGAAGTTGCTAGAGGGCCAGACCATTATAAATAGGGAAGCAGGTTGTTTACCACGACAGTAGAAGTAATTTTTTTCTGAAGACATGGGTAAACGTGATTTAACAGCCTTTGAACGTGGGATATATTTGAATGTGAGTGGCCAGATTCTTATGACCACCCCATCAGTACTTACTTGGGCCACCTTTTGCCTTCAATACTGCGGCGATTCTTCTTGGCATTGACTCCACGAGATGTTGAAAGGTGATGCGAGGAATCTGACACCATGCCTGATGAATAGCACTGTCCAGTTCTGTGAGATTTGATGGTTGTGGAACCAGCTGCCTGATGGCTCTTTTAACTTCGTCCCACAAATGCTCAATTGGATTGAGATCTGGTGATTGTGGGGGCCACCTAAGCAAGGTAAAGTCTCCCTCATGTTCTTGAAGCCACTCCTGCACAATATGAGCACCATGACAGGGCGCATTGTCTTGTTGGAAGAAGCCATCTCCACTGGGATACGCCATCAACATGATAGGATGAACTTTATCAGCAACGATACTTAGGTATGTTGTGGTATTCAGACATTGTTCCACACGAATTAAAGGGCCCAAATCATGCCAGGAAAACATGCCCCAAACCATAACACTGCCCCCACCAGCTTGAAGGGTTGTACTCATGCATGTGGGGTGCATGCTTTCATGCTGTTTCCGCCAAATTCTCACTCTGCCACCTGCATGATGCAACTGGAAACGTGATTCATCAGACCGCATGACTTTTTTCCAATGCTCGACTGTCCAATCCTTGTGTTCCTGTGCGAATTGGAGATGTTTTATCTTGGTAACTGCAGACAGCAAAGGTGTTCGAACAGGCCTTCGGCTTCCATATCCCATACGATGCAGAGTACGGCTAATTTGCCTACAAAACGTAAGGTGGTCATAATCTGGCCACACTCAGTGTGTGTGTGTGTGTGTATCCATCCCACATTCAAAGTCTGTTAAATCGTGTTGTTTACCCATGTCTTCAGAAAAAAATCACTTCTGTCGTGGTAAACAACCTGCTTTCCTATTTATAATGGTCTGGCCCTCTAGCAACTTCAGCGCGAAATTACAGCTAATTTGCCTACAAATGTCAGGTGGCCATAATAACCTGGCCACTCAGTGCATAATATGTGCACATCTCTGTCTTACAGTGTACATAGTAATCATGTATATGTATTCTTAAATGCACTTAACTCGTCACCATGTCCTACAAATCATGTCCCCGTGTAACCAGCACCCGGATGGAGGAATAGAACGTTGCCGGGTCTCCCGCTCCCTGTGCGGGGCCGGGCAGCACGTGCTCTGGCTTTGTGGCCACGGCCTTCAGTGTCGCGGCTCAGCCGCCCCATGTGGCCCTGGCGCCCTCCACAGCTTGGGTCTGTCCCTCCAGCGCCTGTGGCAGTGTCTCCTGCAGCTCTAATTAGCATTTGTGGCGACTAATGAGACCGCGTGGCTTTCATCTTACCCGTCAGGCGGGCTCCTTCCTGTGAAGCGCGTGCCTTTTTGCGTTTCTCACACCGGGCTGCCCGCCTCCTTCCCACCGGCCGCGGAGCCCTCGCTGTGGACGGGCGGCGAGTTGTTCGTGGCGCCACGTGATGCGCGTGCCTGCTCCGTTTTGCTCTGTCTGCACACTTTTAAGGGCTGTCTTTTGAAATGATAGTTCTTTTTAACGTAGGGAGATGTGTGACGTTTCCCGGGAGGTCTTGTTGAAGGAACCGGGACGACAGTCCGCCTTCTCTCCTGGGCGCTTAGCGTTTCACTCGCACGCTCAGGGCCTGCAGCCGGCACCCGTCCCCTGCGTGTGGGGAGGCAGGGCTCCGGCTCCTGCTTCCCCTCGGCCGTCAGCCCTCCCAGCTCCATTCTCTGTGGAGCCCACCCCATCCTGCCTCGAGGCCCTGGCAGCGTGCTGTCCTCTTGGTCCGTTTGTCTGTCCTGGCACCGTCACCGTCACTCAGTCACACACCCTAGTCGGCGGGTAGGCCAGGACGAGGGGTTCTCAGTCATTTGTCAGGTTCCACCAAGAGAACAGTACCCACTGGGGTGTTTGCCGAGAAATGACCCTTCACTGCTCGGACTCTTCAGTCCCCGGTGAGTTGGAGGGGCTGTTTCCACCTGTTGGTATTTTCTGGACTCTCCCCATCACGCTTTGGAGTAGACTTTTCTGTGTAGAAGTTCTGCAAGCATTTGTAAGATTTACTCCCGGGACTTCCTATTGTTGATGCTGTTTGTAAATGTTATTTCTTAAAATTCATTTTCTGTCCGATTCCTAAAACCATGGACGGTTTTGCCCTTGATATGGAATCCAGATTTCCTGCCAAATTCTTTTAGTCTAAGACTTCATTTGTGGACCTCTGTATTCCTGCACATATAATCAGCTCCTCTGTGAACAATGATGGTGGTGTTTCCCCCGGTCCCAGCGTCACACCTTTCGCTCCTCTTTCTTGCTAAACCGCACTGACCCGGGCAAGCTGCGCCGGGGGCGGCACGGACGCCCCTGCCTCCTTCCCGATCCCGGTCCCCATCGGGGATGCTCCCGTCCTCCACTGGTCCGTGCTCGCTGAGCGCGGGGAGGCCCATGGCTGGTGGTCGGAAGTGGTGAAAGGCAGTGCTGAGTGCCAGGCGGTACCTGCTCTTCTGGTCTGTGGTCCCCTCAAGTCCCTGATGAGCCCCCAGTAACCTCTCAGGGACATTAACATGGCACCACACCAGCTTGCCATGGCGGCGGGAGTCCCGTGTCCCTCATTTCCCTCCACAGCCACTGCGCCGAGGTGTAACACGGGAAGCCTGGCAGCAGCCTCCTCCCCAGGATCGGAGAGGGGGGAAGGGCGGAAGGGAAGGGGGGAGAGCTTTATTCTCATCATTTAGAGCCCAGTTTGTCCGTCAGGGGAAGAGTCCGGGTCACACCTGAGACCACGCGCTCCCTGAGGCCGGCCCAGAACCCTGTCCTGTGTGCTCGTCACCTTCCGAGGGGCGTGATGAGGTGGCTGGGACTCGGGTGAAAGGTGGTCAGGCAGGTGGATGGGGAGGACAAGGGGTTAGGTTGTCCCAGAGATTGACAGCGGGAAGCCCTGTGCACCGCCACAAACACGCGTGCTATGCTGCTAAACGCCACCTCCTGATGTTGTAGAATTTTACAGAAACCGATCATGAGGGCGCCGGCATTCTTCGCCGACGGGACATAAAGACCGCGCTGTACGGCTTCGATGTTCCCCTCACGCCGCGAGAACTGGAGAAGCTGTGGATGCGGTGAGTGGCGCTGGCGCTGGCGCTCTCCTCCCGGCCGCCTGCCTGCGCGTCAGCACCAACCGTCCGTCACTGCGGGGGGCGAGGCGGGGGCCGTGTCTGTCCTGGGCCCTGGCTCCTGCTCCCCGCAGCAGCCTGGTGAGCAGGTGGCCTCGGGGCACGCAGAGCCAGGGGCAGCACGGCCACCAGTCAAACGGGTCCGTGGCCCAGGAGCCGGGAGTCGCTCCCCTGAGCCTCGCCTCTCCTGCGACTCAGCAGCCACACAGTCTCCCCGTCGCTAGCGATGGAGGCCAGAGCTGGACAGAGGCCTCATAGACACGTGATTTGCTGGAAGAAAAGAAGCTCTGACCATGTGGAGGGGTCCCAGGGCCTTGTCAGCTGGTTACGTTTTTCAGAATGCGTCTGGCTGTAGCCGTGGCTGCGGTTGAACCCGGCCCCGTGGCGGCATCCCGGGCAGATGTCTGACACTCCGTTTCCACCTCCAGGTCCAGGTCCCTGTCTGAGCCCCGTCCTCTCCGTATATGTGAGGCCCGCTGCACCCCCTCCCCCCCAAGGCCATGTGCACCGGGCACGTCCTCTGGGGGGCAAGCTCGCGAAGCAGCTCAGGCCATTTCTTAGCTCCTCACCTGTTCCACGGGGAAGGCCGCAGCGTCGGCCACGGTTAGAATTGGTGGGCTGTTCGTGTCTAATTTAGAAAAGCACCTTGAGACTCTTACACGGTCCTTTCTCTCTGTAGATCAGTTCCGACAGGGCTGTGAGCCTCCCGTCCGTTTTCCTTCTCAGTAGGTTAGATCGTGGGTCCCTCCGATGGCCAAGGGATTGGGGCACAGCGGGCACATGCGTGGGCTCCCTCCCACCCTGACAGACAAGAAAGTCAGCTGGGTCAATGGATGCACTCTCTTCATTGTTACTCAGTGAAGACTGAGGCGAAGGGCGCGGCGGTCCCAGAGCCGGAGTTCCGCAGTCCTTCCGCCTCTTGTCCCGGAAGCAGCAGAGGGAGGCTCGCTCTGCACAGGAAAGCGCCCGCACTTCCACGCACGCACCGCCACCTCGGCCTGCGGAGAGTGACGCCGAGACCTGTTTAAACACAGGCTTGGTCCTCGCGACTCGGAGTTCCTGTAGGAAATCTCATCCGCAAATGCCATTTTTATTGATTAGATGAGGACCAAGATCTTGCTGTTAAAATAAATAAAGGTGCTTTTTTTCTTTAAAGGAAATGGGCAATTTGCCTTAACATATTTTATTGAAGTAATTCTTTTAGAATAATGTTGGGAGATAAAAACCCTCCATTATGTCTTTTTAAATGAATTATAACTCAGAGGAACTTCAGTAATAGAAAGTGACACAAAAGGCCCGTAGCGTAATGCTTATCTTCCTTCCTCACCGGTCTCTCTCCTGCCTGTGTGTCACCGGCATCGCTTCAAAGGCCAGGCGGGGGGTTGCCTCACGCGGCGTTCACTTGCTGAGTCCTAAGCGTGAACGCGCTTTCGAGGCTTTTCTTGTAACCTTAGCGTAGTTCCTTCGCACGCGGTGCCGGGAACACGCTGCCGAGTGAGGAGGGCTGGTTTCCCGCCTGCGGCCACAGCGTGTTGCCATCGTCAGCACGGCCGGCGAGCAGATTCGGTTGCTGTCTGTTGGGGTGGCCGGGACCACCTTGTATGGGGTGAGCCTGCTGCGGGACGAGCAATGGTTTCAAACTCTCTCGAGCCTGCAAGTGGCCTGAGGACCTGGGTACATGCAGGCTCAGAGCAGGGGGGCCTGAGGCCCGAGGTCCCGGTCACTGGCCCCCGGGCGAGCCGGTGATGCTGGCCTGCGGAGCACTGCGTGCGAGGGGCCGGGCGCCCTGGCGCACCGTCAGAGCTGGGCACTGACCACGTTTGCTCATCTCTGCAGCTATGACACCAAGGGGAGGGGGCACATTACGTACCCGGAGTTCCTGCACCAGCTGGGGATCACGTACTCGGCGGACGTGCACCGGCCCTACGCGGAGGACCACTCCAACTTCATGGGCCACTTCACGAAGCCGCCGCCGCCGGAGCCACCACGGGAGGAGCGCCCAGCGCAGTGCCCAGAGCAGCCCCCAGAGCAGCACCCGGCGCAGCCGCAGGGCACGGACATGGCCGAGCCAGCCAGGTGAGTCAGGGCGTGTCCCGGGCCCGGAGCTGCCGTCTGAGCCGCCCACACCCGTGGCAGACGTTCTGAGATGTGGCCTCCAGGGCTGGTGAAGTGACGAGGCTGCCCTGTGCGCTCGCTGCCGGATGCTAGACATGGCGCTATCACAGCCCTGCGGGGTGCCAGCCGCGCACTGCCCGCCGCTCGGGGACTGTCCCTCTCAGGCATTGACTGTATGTGGCCCCGCCCTTCCCGGGCAATTAGGATGCAGGCGCATGAAGACACGCCTGTCTCAGCCAGTGCCTGACACCGAATTGGTGCCGGCGAATATCTGTTGAATGAACGAGTGAGTGAGTGAGTGCACAGACATGGTCTCGGACTCAGTGGTTCCATTTTAAGGACTTTATACCAGAGAAATAATGCAGACGAGGCCCTCGGGTTGGCAGCGGGCAGGGAAGGCTGGCCGGAGCTCCCACGGCTGGTCCCAGTGAGTGCGCGGGCATGTGGAGTGTGGCCCCAAAGGCTACGAAACAGCTTTGGCCACGGAGCCTGGGCAGCATGTGTGACCGAGGGCTGATGGGAAATGCACTTGGACGGCACGTCTGTGTGACTGCAGCGATGCCAAGCGCACGGGCCTGGCCGCGAGGCCCAGGAGGTGCACGCAGAGGGTCCCGCCAAGTCATGTTTGGATCCTGGGACTGGGAGGATTACCTTCAAAGGGGAAAACCAGTTACCAGCGTCATACCTTGAAAGCGTTCGGCATGAAAGCGAGCTTTGCCATGTCTGAGTGACCACAGAGCTGGGGGGCAGATTTTCCTGGCCCATCTCCGTCCTGGTCCCCCATCAGCACTGCCAGGCCTGGGCTCTGCTCCCTGCCCCTGCTGCCCGGGACTATGCCGCCCGTCTCCTGCTGTCACTCCAGCTCTGTCCCCGCCCTCAGAGAGCCCAGCCCGCGGGTGAGTGCATGACTTGTTGCTGAGAACCCCCAGAGGAAACGAGGCCCAGCAGCACAGAAACGAGGGGCCAGGGCCACGGGGGTTAAGGGGAAAGCAGTGTGCCGCCCCTGAGGATGGGGAAGTGACTCAGATGTAAAGAGGATGGAGTTTGAAAAATAAGGAAAAAATATGCGTAAGATTGGTGTAAATCACACGTGCCTCGCACTAATGAAAAAGTGGGTGTATCTTTATCAGACAGGGCTGGTCTCCTTACCTACCCCCAACCCCCCAACCCCCTCCCCCACACCGCGTGTGAACAACGAGGTGGAAGGGAGCGCCCAGCTTCTCCCCCGCGGCCGCTCCTCCCTGTGTCCTCCAACTGGGAGCCGGTGGAGGGGAGTTGGGGGGGGAGGGATTCCTGACCGCCACGCCCAGCCAGCCCTCACTCCCCTGTCCTCTGCGGGGTCAGCCTCTCCTGCTGGACCAGCCTGATTTCATTAAACCGCCACCACCTCTGTTTTCTCAAAGGCATCGGTTGCAACACTGTCAGGTGGCCGCTTCTGAATTCCGGGGCAGCAGGGCCTCCGGGTCACCCTTAAGGTTCTGTGTTTCCAGGACTTTCCCTCTTGTTTCTACTGAAACTCTGAGGAGATTGACAGATGGGCGTCGTGCTAAATTCACGTGTCCAAAATGGTGTCTTTGCCTCTTACATCTACGGGAATGGGTTTTGTTTGCAGTGCCCTGAAGACTTGGAATCAGCGCCGCCCTCGGGGCCCGGCCACCTCCTTGTGCCCAGGCCCAGAACGCAGAGCCTGCGGCCGGCTCAGCCGCCTCAGAGGCTGGCGGGGCGGGGGCGTGGTGGCCGTCCCACTGGCCATGACAGTGGCCCCCGGGCTTCCGTGTCACTGTCCAGACCAGGAACCGGACGGGAACCCAGAGCAGCAACGGTCGCCCCGAGTGTGGCTCACACGCTTCCGTGGACAAGCACGCTGCTCAGTGCGGCGGGAAGGGCTCGGGAGAGACCTGGGGGCCGAGGTGTGCCATCCGTACCTGCCCACGCTCTCCTAGTCCCGTACATTCCTTTTGGTCAGAGAACTTTCCTGAGAAGCAGAATCATAGCACGTTTAGTACTTGAGCACGTTCTGCAGGAAAACCAGCCTCTAGCGCAGTGGTTCTCAACCTTCTGGCCCTTTAAATACAGTTCCTCATGTGGTGACCCAACCATAGCATTATTTTCGTTGCTACTTCATAACTGTCATGTTGCTACTGTTATGCATCGTCATGTAAAGATCTGATATGCAGGATGGTCTTAGGCGCCCCCTGTGAAAGGGTCGTTCGATCGCCAAAGGGGTCGCGACCCACAGGTTGAGAACCGCTGCCCTAGCGGGAGCTTGCCCACCACCCTAGGGCCCTGTCTCATTCCCATCTGTCCAGTGGGGTGACCGGGACCCCTCCTCGCAGGGCTGTTGGGAGGAACAAGAGGGAGGGGCTCACAGCGAGGCCCCGGCTTGCCAGTTGCTGCGCACGGATGGTGCCGTTTCTTAACAACAAAGTGTCTGATTAAAAACAAGGGTCCCTGGGCCTTCCCTCTGCGACTCTGACTGGCCCTCCCCTCCCTGCTGCCCCTCCAGGGCAGCTGCTACTGGCTGACCCTGGCCCCCAGCACTCCTGGCCCAGGGAGCTGCCCGCCAGCTCCTTCAGCTGTCCTGCTCCCGGGCCACCTTCCCAGTGACACCTACCCACACCCTCTCCCACGGAGGCCACTCCCAGTCCTGTTCGCGGCTCTCTCCTGACCCACTTGGCGTCACGGGAGGTGTCCCGGTGCCCACAGCAGTTTCTGGCGGTAGGTGCCAGGGAGCCTTCAGGGGGAAGAGCGCGTGTGTATAAAAACCACCCTTTTCATTCTTGGCCCCACTCTGACAGTCCCAATTCTAGTAACAAGACAAGACTGGGATTCCTCTAATGCAGTTTTGCTGGCGATGATAATGTGATAAGCATGCAGACTTACACATTTTTGCAGAATACCTCTCAATGTCAATGTCGCACCAAGGCTGTAAAACAGCTTCAGAGTCGGTTCTTTTTTTTTTTTTTAATAGATTTTTATTGATTTCAGAGAGAGAAGGAGGGAGAGAGAGATAGAAACATCAATGATGAGAGAGAATCATTGATCAGCTGCCTCCTACACGCCCCCTACTGAGGATCAAGCCCGCAATGTTCCCCAACTGGGAATCGAACCTTCCCAGGCCTGCGCTCTGTCCCGAGCCAAACTGGCTGGGCCAGAGGGAGTCCTTAGTGAATCACCCGATCATCACGAGGACGATGGTGAAACCCTCGCCTTAGGAGGTGACTTGCTTTCCTGTGGGTGTCTGACCTGCATTCTCTTTCAGGGAGAAGCTGAAGGACCACAGTGCAGACATCAGGAAGGCGCTGACCAAGCTGGACGCGTGTGGCAGCGGCTCGGTGTCCCTGTGCCAGCTGCAGAGGGCGCTGCGGGACAGCGGCTGTCCCCTCAAGGAGGCGGAGCTGGCCGCGCTCCTGGGCAGGTTTGCTCTCACTGGCCGGCCCTTTCCGAGAAGCCAGTCCGTGCGTGGCTTTCATTTCTCCTCTGTCCAAGCAGACTCCTGACATGGAAATGACCCCCACACCTCCCTCTGGCCGGGCTGCATCCTACTGGGCTCGAGTCACCCCGAAGCAAAAAGGAAAAGCAGCTTAGACACGTAGAGCTTCCTGGTGTGTCTCAGCACATCGCACCCTGTTTGAACTTCCTTTTTATCTTACCCACGTTCTGCCTGCGCTTCGGCCGGCGCCAGGTAGCTCTCCGGGCCACTGTCCTCGTGTCCCTCCCCAGGGCCAGCTCCCAACGCTCAAGTAACATCTCTTGGTAGTTCGCGTTTCTGAGTGACGGGTTGTACAGCTCCTTCTTGACTTTGTACCGTTAGGCTGTGTCTGTTGACTTCCCAGCAGGAAGATGCGGATTTAACTCTTTTTCACCCGTCACCTGCCACCAGCCACCTCTCCCACAGCCTCCACCCCACCCCCACGGAAATACATGCAAACAAGTCTCCACGGGTGTCACTTTTCCCACCTGCTGCTTCTCGGTTTGGGGGAGACCAGTATCCGGGGTTTATTGTGACGAGCTGATCACGTTTCCTTTTTAATGGAGCATCTTGTTTTTCCTGGAGTTCATCGTATTTTTTCTGTTTCTTTAGTTTCCATGCGGTTATTATCAGTAATTGAACCCCTAACTCACCCCACTTATGAAATCTCTTTCTTTTCGTGGTTGCTCTGTAGTTTGCAATATACACGAACAAGTAGCCCAAGTCCAGTTTCAGCTAACACGATGCCAGCTCCTGGGTGGGCAGGTGCCTTATAACGGAGACTTCCAGATCCTTCCTCCTGTCCCTCCTGACCCCGCTGTCCTTCACCTTCATGCCTGTCCACAAGCTGTGACCCCCAGTGCATTGTTACTACTTTGGAAAGTCATTGTCAGGTCAACTGAGAGTTAGAAAAGTCAGAGACGTTGTTTTACCTCGTTTACTCCTTCTCTGGCGCTCTCCTTTCTTTATGGGGATCTGAGTTTCTAACTTAATGACGTTCCTCTCTCTGAGGGATCTCCGTTAGCATTTCTCGAAGGGCGGGGCAGCTGGTGATGAGTCCTGAGGTTTTTGTTTGTTTTTTCAATATATGTTTATTGATTTCAGAGAGGAAGGGAGAGGGAGAGAGAGAGAGAGAAACGTCAGTGATGAGAGAGAATCATTGATTGGCTGCCTCCTGCACGCCCCCTCTGGGGATCAAGCCTGCAAGCCAGGCATGTGCCCTTGACCAGAATCGAACCCGGGACCCGTCAGTCCGTAGGCCGAGGCTCTATCCACTGAGCCACACCAGCTGGGGCCGTCCTGGGGTTTTGTTTGCCTGAGATAGTCGTCGCTTTCCTTCATTTCTAGAGGATAATGCCACTGGATATAGAATTCTAGGTTGCTGGTTTTTTTCTTTCAGCACTTTAATTATGTCAGTTCACTCTTTTCTTGCATGATTTCTGATGAGAAGTACCATGTAATTCTTACTTTTGTTCCTCTGTAGGTAAGGTCTTCCCTCCCTTTGGCTTCTTTCAAGATTTTCTCTTTGTCTTCAGTTCTCTGCAGTTTAAACATGGCATGCCTAGGTGTTGACTTTTTGGTATTTATCCTGCTTGGTGCTCTCTGAACTTTCTGGATCTGTGCTTTGTGTCTGTCATTGATTTTTTAAATTCTTGGCCGTCATTACTTCAGACGTTCTTTCTGCTCCTTTCTCTCTTTCTCTCCTCCTGGTATTCTAATTATATGGATGTTGCACTTTCTGAAATTGCCCCACAGTTTCATATTCTATTCTGTTTATTTTAATTTGTTTTTCCCTTCAAATTTCCATTTGGGAAGTTTTTATTAACATACTGTTAAGCTCAGTGATTTTTATCCTCAACCATGTCCGATCGACTGATGAGCCAATCAGAGGTGTTCTTCATTTCTGTTGCCCTGCTTTTTATTTTGAGTATTTCCTTTTTTAAAAAAATATATGTTTATTGATTTCAGAGAGGAAGGGAGAGGGAGAGAGAAATAGAAACATCAATGATGAGAGAGAATCATTGATCGGCTGCCTCCTGCCCACCCCACACTGGGGATCAAGCCCACAACCCGGGCATGTGCCCTGACTGGGAATTGAACCCATGACCTGTTGGTTCACAGATTGATGCTCAACCGCTGAGCCACGCTAGCTGGGCTCCAAAATTTCCTTTTGATGCTTTCTTAGCGTTTTCACCTCTCTGCTCACATTATGCATTTGTTCTTGGGTGTTGTCTGCCTTTTCCATTAGAGCCCTTTATATATTAATCATAGTTAATTTAAGTGTCCTGTCTGGTAATTCCAAAATATGTGTCATGTCTGAATCTGGTTCTCATGCGTTTAGTGTGAGGTTTTATGTTGATTCGGGTAGGAATTGGGCTGTGCTTAATGTTGCTATAGCTGTCCATTTCCTCCAGCATCCTTGTTTTTGTCCCTTACGTTTTTGGGGGTTTCCCTAGGAACTCCTCCTCAAATAGAGTCTATGTTTTGTAGTTCTTCCCATTGAAACCCACTCTTACTAAGTTTGCTTCATGTTTATACTCTGATCTTATTGATAGGTTGTTTGTTTCCTGAAGTTTTTAATTTCCTTTTTGTCTTTCTTGCATTATTTGCCTTTATGTTACCTTGTCAAATAGAGACAAATGCAGACTTAGTAAAGAGAGACTTTATTTGAAAAGACTATTGCAATAGGGAGGGAGGACTGTGGTTATGGGGAAGGAAGGCTGTTGCACTAGGGAGGGAGGACTGTGGTTATGGGGAAGGAAGGCTGTTGCACTAGGGAGGGAGGACTGTGGTTATGGGGAAGGAAGGCTGTTGCAATAGGGAGGGAGGACTGTGGTTATGGGGAAGGAAGGCTGTTGCATTAGGGAGGGAGGACTGTGGTTATGGGGAAGGAAGGCTGTTGCACTAGGGAGGGAGGACTGTGGTTATGGGGAAGGAAGGCTGTTGCACTAGGGAGGGAGGACTGTGGTTATGGGGAAGGAAGGCTGTTGCACTAGGGAGGGAGGACTGTGGTTATGGGGAAGGAAGGCTGTTGCACTAGGGAGGGAGGACTGTGGTTATGGGGAAGGAAGGCTGTTGCACTAGGGAGGGAGGACTGTGGTTATGGGGAAGGAAGCCTGTTGCACTAGGGAGGGAGGACTGTGGTTATGGGGAAGGAAGCCTGTTGCACTAGGGAGGGAGGACTGTGGTTATGGGGAAGGAAGGCTGTTGCACTAGGGAGGGAGGACTGTGGTTATGGAGAAGGAAGCCTGTTGCACTAGGGAGGGAGGACTGTGGTTATGGGGAAGGAAGGCTGTTGCACTAGGGAGGGAGGACTGTGGTTATGGGGAAGGAAGGCTGTTGCATTAGGGAGGGAGGACTGTGGTTATGGGGAAGGAAGGCTGTTGCACTAGGGAGGGAGGACTGTGGTTATGGGGAAGGAAGGCTGTTGCACTAGGGAGGGAGGACTGTGGTTATGGGGAAGGAAGGCTGTTGCACTAGGGAGGGAGGACTGTGGTTATGGGGAAGGAAGGCTGTTGCACTAGGGAGGGAGGACTGTGGTTATGGGGAAGGAAGGCTGTTGCACTAGGGAGGGAGGACTGTGGTTATGGGGAAGGAAGGCTGTTGCACTAGGGAGGGAGGACTGTGGTTATGGGGAAGGAAGGCTGTTGCACTAGGGAGGGAGGACTGTGGTTATGGGGAAGGAAGGCTGTTGCACTAGGGAGGGAGGACTGTGGTTATGGGGAAGGAAGGCTGTTGCACTAGGGAGGGAGGACTGTGGTTATGGGGGAGGAAGGCTGTTGCACTAGGGAGGGAGGACTGTGGTTATGGGGAAGGAAGGCTGTTGCACTAGGGAGGGAGGACTGTGGTTATGGGGAAGGAAGCCTATTGCACTAGGGAGGGAGGACTGTGGTTATGGGGAAGGAAGGCTGTTGCACTAGGGAGGGAGGACTGTTGTTATGGGGAAGGAAGGCTGTTGCACTAGGGAGGGAGGACTGTGGTTATGGGGAAGGAAGGCTGTTGCACTAGGGAGGGAGGACTGTGGTTATGGGGAAGGAAGGCTGTTGCACTAGGGAGGGAGGACTGTGGTTATGGGGAAGGAAGGCTGTTGCACTAGGGAGGGAGGACTGTGGTTATGGGGAAGGAAGGCTGTTGCACTAGGGAGGGAGGACTGTGGTTATGGGGAAGGAAGGCTGTTGCACTAGGGAGGGAGGACTGTGGTTATGGGGAAGGAAGGCTGTTGCACTAGGGAGGGAGGACTGTGGTTATGGGGAAGGAAGGCTGTTGCACTAGGGAGGGAGGACTGTGGTTATGGGGAAGGAAGGCTGTTGCACTAGGGAGGGAGGACTGTGGTTATGGGGAAGGAAGGCTGTTGCACTAGGGAGGGAGGACTGTGGTTATGGGGAAGGAAGCCTGTTGCACTAGGGAGGGAGGACTGTGGTTATGGGGAAGGAAGGCTGTTGCACTAGGGAGGGAGGACTGTGGTTATGGGGGAGGAAGGCTGTTGCACTAGGGAGGGAGGACTGTGGTTATGGGGAAGGAAGGCTGTTGCACTAGGGGAGGGAGGACTGTGGTTATGGGGAAGGAAGGCTGTTGCACTAGGGAGGGAGGACTGTGGTTATGGGGGAGGAAGGCTGTTGCACTAGGGAGGGAGGACTGTGGTTATGGGGAAGGAAGGCTGTTGCACTAGGGGAGGGAGGACTGTGGTTATGGGAAGGAAGGCTGTTGCACTAGGGAGGGAGGACTGTGGTTATGGGGAAGGAAGGCTGTTGCACTAGGGGAGGGAGGACTGTGGTTATGGGGAAGGAAGGCTGTTGCACTAGGGGAGGGAGGACTGTGGTTATGGGGAAGGAAGGCTGTTGCACTAGGGGAGGGAGGACTGTGGTTATGGGGAAGGAAGGCTGTTGCACTAGGGGAGGGAGGACTGTGGTTATGGGGAAGGAAGGCTGTTGCACTAGGGGAGGGAGGACTGTGGTTATGGGGAAGGAAGGCTGTTGCACTAGGGGAGGGAGGACTGTGGTTATGGGGAAGGAAGGCTGTTGCACTAGGGGAGGGAGGACTGTGGTTATGGGGAAGGAAGGCTGTTGCACTAGGGGAGGGAGGACTGTGGTTATGGGGAAGGAAGGCTGTTGCACTAGGGAGGGAGGACTGTTGTTATGGGGAAGGAAGGCTGTTGCACTAGGGAGGGAGGACTGTGGTTATGGGGAAGGAAGGCTGTTGCACTAGGGAGGGAGGACTGTGGTTATGGGGAAGGAAGGCTGTTGCACTAGGGAGGGAGGACTGTGGTTATGGGGAAGGAAGGCTGTTGCACTAGGGAGGGAGGACTGTGGTTATGGGGAAGGAAGGCTGTTGCACTAGGGAGGGAGGACTGTGGTTATGGGGAAGGAAGGCTGTTGCACTAGGGGACTGCCCTGACCAGGAAATCTGCAAGCATCTCCCAGTTTAGGCAGAAAAGGGCCTTTATGGGGATAAAGAAAGGCCTGAATGTGGGGTGAGGAGATGAGGGACTGTGACCACACACTACGGCAGGGAATGTCTGTCCTGTGGTCAGGTGTCCCGAGGGGCCTCGCGGAGGGGCTGTTCCCCACCCCGATGCTGCAGGGAAGCTTAGTTAAGTTTGGTCAAGTCAATTTTGTCCAAATCGGCCAGTGAGTAAAAGAAAGTTCAGGTCATCATTTCTAAGACGCGGCATTGGGAGGGCTGTGTCCGCCTTGACGTGGGCAAACCTAGGAGTCTTTTCTAGGTCAGATGGGAAACGCTGGTTCTTTGACGTAAGTCATGTCCAGGGCGTCGTGGGAGGTGATTTCTGTAACCGTCACTGGTTTCCAGGAGCACGGGCTCAGGCAAAGCTCCATGCTGTCCAGCTCCAGCTTCCCCAGCATCCGCCCCACTTCCTGTTCCCCAGGCTCTTCCCTGGTGCTCCATCCTAGCGCCGGGCCGCTCCCCCTGTCCTCGGTCTGACGCCCAAGAGCCTCCCTGTCTGCCCCCACCATGCTCCTGGGTGGGACCCCCCATTCCCAGCTTTTCACATCTCTTTTCTTAATTACATCCTATTTTGCTGGAGTACTTCCTGACGTGATTTCCTAAGAAAGGGTGGACAGGAAGTAAATGCTCTGAGTTCTTGTTTGTCTGAAAATTTTTAAATTCTTTTTCACACAGATTGATAACTTGAGCATAAAATCCTAGTAAGAAAATTTTTTCCCCTTAAAATGTTGAAGACATTGCTCCATTGTGTTCATGCTGTGAGGAGTCCCATGCTAGTGTGTGTGTGTGTGTGTGTGTGTGTGTGTGTGTGTGTGTAGAGAGAGAGAGAGGACTGATTCATCCTCACATGCCTGTGTGCTCTCTTCTTCCTGAGATAGGGTCTCCTCTCACTAAATCTATTTCCAGCTGAACAAGAATTCATATGCATTCAATGAATAAATCATGGAAAAATAGCATGCGATAAATAATTAACTAAATGAGTGAGAGAGTCTTCTAAGCATGGTGAGTCTTGGTGCATTTATAAAGGACAACAGAAGGACTGTGGGGTTTTTGTGGTCCACCTCTCAGGGGGGCGATCCCTTCCTTAGGGATTGAAACCTCAGTGAGGGCCCATCGCCTGGCTGCTTGTTTCTTCTCAAAGACCTCTGATGGGAAACAGCTCTGTCATTTGTAATTATATGTAGATTATTCTTTTCTAGATCCAAAATAGATTTTTCTAAATAATACCAAGAAGATTAGCATATGCATTTGATTTTATTACTAAATTTTAATACCAAGTTGGCAGTTCACCCTGCTGATGAAATAGAGCTGATTACCCTCTCCCTGTGTCTCCAGCGTGAGCCAGCGCCGTGGGCTGGGCGGGCCGGCTGCTCTGCAGCTGTGGGGCGGAGACACGGCTCTGGCTCCTGCTCCTCGGAGCAGGTCTCCAAGTCTCTGGGAGCTTCTCCCTCCCCGGGAGCTTCTCCCTTTGCTTGCCAGGAATCCGGGCTCCTCCTCTTTGACACACTCCTTCCTGCTGAAAGGAAGCTTAGGTGTTAACGTGCCAGGAATGCCCAGAGAACTTAAGTGACAGAACTGGGAGCTCTGAATGCAGTTAAACGTTATTTGCATCTTCAGTAAACTTGCGTTATGTTCTCATGGAACCTTAGATCCCTCTGCCCCCCCATGTATTCTTTCAGGGTTTAGAGGCGCTTGGGTGTTGGAGCAGAGGCAGGAGGGGCCTGTTTCTACGGGCATGTCCTGCTGACACGCTTACTCAACGGAATTGTTCTTTGAGAAACTACTAAGCTAAATAGGTTTTGTGAAATGTCCTTCAGCTTGGCAGCTCAGTTTCAGCCGTTCTTGTAAAGCAGCGGTTCTCAACCTGTGGGTCGCCTAAGACCATCGGAAAACACATATATAATTACATATGGTTTTTGTGGTTAATCACTATGCTTTAATTATGTTCAATTTGTAACAATGAAATTGGGGGTCCCCACAACATGAGGAGCTGTATTAAAGGGTCGCGGCCTGAGGAAGGTGGAGAACCGCTGTTGTAAAGGAATGATCGGGTGTTTTACTCAGTCCTTCTCCCTTTTCGCTGTCCTCGCTGCATTTCTCTTCTTTTCAGATTCCCCAGCCGCTTCTCAGGGCAGCGTCTCATCAGCTAAGATCTCCAGGACCAACCCCTACCCTCCATCACCCCCCATGTGGCCCTGCCCCCACTCCACAGGCCTGACTACCCCGTAACACTGCTCTGCCAGCGCCAGCCCTGCCGAGGCACCTCCGTTTGCCCCGCTCATGACCAGATTCCTTAGTGGGGCCTCTTGCAGCTTCTCTCCAGACTGTGAGCCCTGTTGTCAGCCTTCACGCCTCAGAGCCTCAGGCCAGGCCGCCCCGTGGCCTCACCAGCCGGCAGTGGCCCACACACTCGCCTCTCCCAACCCTGACCCTGCTCCCGGATCTTGCAGGCTGTGTGTGCCCGTCTGCCGCCTGGCTGATTGGTGTGCAGGTGTGCAGGCCCCACAGGCCGGGGAACGGCGCTTAACATCATTCCTGTTCTCCACCCACTCTGTGCTCAGCTAGTGTGTGTTGAATGAATAAGTGATAGGGTTTTTTAATTAATATGGTTTTTTTTCTTCCTTGGGGACCAGTTTGGGAATCAGCTGGCAAAACAATTCCATCAATTACCTTGACTTCTTGAGGGCCGTGGAGGGCGGCTCGCCATCCGGAGCTGAGCCGAAAGAGAGCGAGGCGGGCGTGCCGGTCAATTTTGCGAAACTGAGTCCAGAGGAGGTTCTGAAGAACGTCCAGAAAGTGGTGGCCGCCTCCGGTCCGGCTCTGGCCACGGTACGGCAGACAGAGCTCTCACTGGAAACCGACGCTCTGGGACTCGTGTCGATCATGAGAAAGGGCTGCGAGCCCTTCCCTCCTCCGGGACCCCTCCCGCCTCTCCATGCCCCCAGGTGTCAGGCCTCCGAGGAGTGGCTCAGATCATGTTGCTCAGTGAGCAGGTGTCTATCCATCCTTGCTCGATACAGAGCTCCCATGCCCTGGCCGGTGGCTCAGTGGGTTGGAGCATCGTCCCGTACACCAAAAGGCCACAGGTTCGATCCCTGGTCCAGGCACATACCTAGGTTGCAGGTTTGATCCCCAGTCAGGGCACGTACGGGAGGCAACTGATGGATGTTTCTCTCTCTCTCTCTCTCTCTCTCTCTCTCTCTCTCTCTCTCTCTCTCAAAATCAATGAACGTATCCTCACAGCACTGGGCCTGTGGAGGGGGTGGCGCAGGCGGCTTACAGAGGTCGGCCAGGGTGGGGCTGTGGCTCACACTCAGAGTGAAGACTGCCAGGAGCCGGAGAGGGTTTAGGAGGGCCACCGAGTACCCTGACACTGTAGGCTGGCGTCTGTGTGGCACCTAGAGCATGCCAAGACCTGGGGACTGGGTCAGGGTTCTCGGAAAGCAGGGCCTGGGCCATGTTCCCGGGGTGGTCATGGTCTCCTGAACTGGCCCACAGTCTCCCGTGCAGCAGCAACAGCAGAAAGAGAAAATGCTGGCTGCAGAGGGCAGGCTGTGGTCTGAGCCGGGCATGCAAAGCTGCGTGTGATGCTGGCCATGTCTCACGTGCAGACTTGCCGACCCCCCTCAGGACCCAGGCTGGCCCGCTCCATGCCCAGCTCTGCAGAGCGAGCCTGCAGCGGGATGGGGAGAGGGACAGAGGTGGGCCGCCAGCCAGCATGCAAGCAGTCTGGAATGCCTGCACCTTGGCCTTAATCTTGGGCAGCCAGCATTTTTGCATGGAGGAGTTCTCTATGAGGATTTTACACTCGGCCTTTATTGTACTGATTATCTTATTGTACTGATTATCTGAAGCTCAGTGGGAGCATGACGCGGGCCACCTAGAAAACCCACCGCAACCTTTCAGCGCCAGAGCTCGCACCAGGGCTGCCCTGCCCGGGGGTCTGCACACGTGTGCACGGGAACCAGGATATTTCTCAAACCGAGGTCCATGGAACCTTTGGGAGGAACCCTGGCTGTCACTTCTGAGAAACACTCATCAGGCCATGAGGTTTTAAGCTGGAGGGTGGGATCCCTGGCCTAGAGAGTGGCAGGTGGGCTGCAGAGGGACAGCAGGAGAGGAAGGAATGACGGCGTTGAAGGACAGCCGTCTGCATGCCGGACATGTGCACGCATTTCCTCACATCGCTGCAGGTGTGTGTCAGCTGCATCTTGTTTCTGAAATGACATAGCAACCCCTTATAGCTGTGTCGAGCATTATGGATTCCCAAGCCCTTCTCATCTGGTTCTTCCCCGCATCCCGTGGTCGGGCAGCTGGGCCAACATGGGAACCACGCAGACCAGGGACGTGCAGGTCCCAGGCCGCCTCAGGTCCTGTGAGGCTCATCCCTCCACAGCTGCGCGGCCCACCACGTCCTGGGACGGGCACGTCCGGGTGCCATGGTCAACTCAGAAGAGCATGAGGTGTGAAGCCCGTTTCTATGGAAGCAGCTGAGCTCAGAGTGGTTCAGGGCTCCTGGGGGGCAGCAGAGCGAAGGCTCAAAGTCTGCTTCCTGGCCCGCGGCCAGAGGGTTCCCCCACGCACAGCGCCTCGTCCTCCCTCAGGCTGGGTGCAGACCTGGAGCTGGGGCACGGAGGCTAACAGCGCACACGGCACAGCCCTGGGCGATGGGGTTGCCTAGGTGGCTCTGGGGGAGGAGTAAAGCACTGGAATTTGGTTTGGGGTCTGCACGCACATTGAAGTCTGACTTTAAAAAAAAAAAAAAGATCTTAACCTACCGCTTGATCCAGACTTCCTAGTGCAGGAAAAGTGAATGATTTTGTTTCGACAGATGGAAAAAAATGTGCTTGCTTTTTATAGCACATGTTTGCACTTTTCCAGGGCGCCTGCTGGGCCGCTGGGCTGGCACTGTCTCCCGGCCCCCGCAGCGTGGGCCCCGGGCAGTGGGGTCCTCCCGGAGGTGAGGGCACGGGCTCGGGCTGACCGAAGGGAAAGGACAGCAGCTCCTGGCACCAGCCTCAGGCTGGGGGTGACGGAGGGACCCCACCTCCTGGTGCTGGTGACATGAGACTCCTTCCTGAGACCCGCCCGCCCGGCGCAGTGGGGTTGCCCGGGGCCTCCTGTTCCTGGTGGCTTACTCTCCGAGCAGCCGGAGGGAATCAGGGAGAGGCCTTGGGCCAGTTATGGGGGCCAGGTTCCCTTCGCCTCTTCCAACTCGTGTCCGAGAGGAGTGAAGACAGCGCGCCCCCAGCGCGGCTGGCACGGCTCACGCCTCTGCCTGTCTGCCCTTCAGGCCCCAGCACCTGCTGAGTGAGGCAGCGTTCAGACGGGCATGCACTTGGCTTCGTTCGCGTTGCGCAGGAGCAGCACTAAGGAAAACTCCTCTGGAATATTCGCTGGACGTCACACCTGCCTGTCTTTCTCTCTCGCAGGCGTTTTCTGCCGTGGACAAAGAGGACACGGGGTTCGTGAAGGCTTCGGAGTTTGGTCAAGTGCTGAAGGATTTCTGTTCCAAGCTGACAGAGAACCAGTTCCATTACTTCCTGAGGAAACTGCGGCTTCACCTGACGCCCTGCATCGGCTGGAAGTACTTCCTGCAGAGCTTCGGCGGCTTCCTGGAGGAGGTGAGTGCCCGCGGCTCCTGGACCAGGGCTGGAACGCACTTGTGCAGAACGAGTAACCGGTGAAAAGCGCGTCCGGTACGTCGGCAAGCACCTCGTGCGATTCGCTCGTTCTGAAGGAAGCGTTGGTGTAGAGTCTATAGGGGAAGGTACATGTGTATCTTTTGCTTCATTTGAAAGTTACTGTCTTATTTTCAGAGACGTTTGGGAGCTTGCTTTTGTCTGGTTGTTTAGAGTGCTCGGGATTCTTAGGTCCCTGGAGATGGTCTGATGTCCGGAGAAGTGAGGCCCCGAGTGGCAGTGGAGGAACTGGGACCCACTATGTGCCAGGCCCTCGCTAGGCCATGTATCAGGCAATCCTGGGGGAGAGGGAAATGTGGAGATAGTAGGCGTAAACAGATGTATATCAGCGGGCCCCAGGGGAAGTCAGGGGGGACTTCATGGAGAAGTGGGGGTGGCTGACCACGGGCTCATGTTTCTTCCTGAGGACTGCTGCTTTGGCTGCACAAGATGTATATTCTTAGGTGGTTTCTTGATTTGTAAACATAATGGGCCATCGTTAGAAAGAATTCCAATCTAGTTTTAACCAGCACAGATCTCTGTAGTCACCATTCTGTGCTCAGTGAGCCTGGACACGCACGAAACATCCAAAAATAATGCAACAGGCTCAACCAGCGTTACACTCAACTGCCCCGGAGCTGGGTGCGCAGGTCATTTCCAGCGGTGCGCTTCATACCCAGACACCTAAGTTCATAAATCCTCGCTCGCCTGTCAGGATAAATTCTTGAAAATGAGCTTCCCGGGGCAAATAGCGCGAACGTGTTTAAGGTTTGAGGTTCACGATAGTAATAACAGCAGCCAGCCCTGTCAGCACCTTCAGATGCCACTGTGAGCACTGCTGGGAGCAGCCCGCCTCGTAGCCGGGGCGCTGGGCACAGGCGCGGGAGCCTCCGCAGTCACCCTGTGGGGGGCGGGGGCCGGGGAGCCCAAGGAGTCGGGCCCGGCTCCAGGCCCCGGAACGCTGTGCTGTGCCCGCTCCTCCGGGGCCTGTGATTTTTGTCATCTTTTTGACAAACGTTTTTATTTGTACCCAAGTAACATGCGCCCGCGCGGAAATAAAACCGAGCTGCTGCAGATTTAAAGGCCGAGAGCACTTGATGAGCTGCCCGCCTCCGTCCGCGCCCAGAGCTCTCTCTGGGATTGGCGGTGTTTCTCCAGCTGCGGACCTGCTCGTCTCCGGGCGTCTGCCTCCCTCCCGCCTGGAAGCGCTGCTCTGGGCGTTGCTCCCGCTCGCTGCCATGAGAGAGGACGGGCTTCCCTATCCCAGCTCCCGGCCCCCCTCCGGGCTCCCGTGGGAGGCCTCCCCTGTAGCTGCCTGTCACTCGCCCTGATGTCATTGACATTCCCGGGTCATTGGTTTTTCCCTCAAATGTGGATCTGTTTGGTGTATACCTTCCCATGGTGTGGATTCGCTCCTTCCATCCACCAGTGCTCCTGCGGGCCCACTGTGTGCCAGGCTCGCGCCGCGTGCTGGGTCGGCAGGAACCACGCTGACGCGCCCCTGCCCACCAGGAGTGTGGATTCCACCGAGGGAGGAAGCGAAGCAGTGAGATCCCAGTGTGTGCCGCGGAGAAGATGTAGCAGGGCAGGAGGAAGACGTGTGAGAGGCGACAGGAGCTGAGACCCAGGGGAGGGAGGGACCCAGCGGTTTTGAGGCTCAGAGCTGGCGCAGGAGGTGCCCGACTGGCATGAGAAGAGTCGTGGTGTGGCAGCCAAGAGCGGGTGACGCGGGCAGCAGGTGCGGTCAGGGAGGGGGCGGGCGGCCATGTCACTGTGTTCCCAGCAAAGACTGCCCGGGCCTTGCCTCTGAGGCACACACAGAGGAGAGCGGCGTGACCCGACTTACGTTTTAGAAAGTCGCTGTGGGAGGTGGATGGAGAGGAGACTGTGGGTCAAGGTCAAGGCAGGAGGCGGCCTCACCCCTGCGGTGGGGAAGCTGCTGGCGGTTAATTCCAGACACATCTGCAAAGTGGACAGACAGGCCTTGCTGCTGGCACATCTGTGCTGAGGGCGAGCTGGGCGGGGAGGGGGGGGGGGGGCGGGGGGGGCGGGGGGGGAGAGTCAGGAGAGGCCCCAGGCATTTGGGGTTTGAATCGGGGGAGGCAAGAGGAGAGGAAGGTGCAGGACCCAGTCCCTGGACTGTGGGCTCCCCGCTCTGTGTTCCAGTGGGGACAGTGCGCCCGTGGGTGCGAGCCCAGGCCTCTACGGGCTCTGTGGCAGCGCAGGCTTCTTGGGCAGCATGTGCCGAGGTTGGGAGGCGGGCTCCCGCCTCAGTGCGGCGCCTCCCTGGCCTCGGGTCCCCACGAGCATTCCTGATGCCTCTGGAATGACAGGACCATTTTGAAAGCCTCGAGTGTTGCCAGCCTGCGGACCTGATGGGGGTTCTCGCTGTCCTCCGTGCTCCGGGAGCTCTTCACCGCACATTCCTGCCGGAGGCGTCAGGGCCACTGCAGGCGGAGCCGGTGGGCTGCATGGGGCTGGGACCAGGGAGGCAGGTGGCACTGTGGGGTGGGGGCGGGCACGGCCTCCGCCTGCCTTCTGGGTCTATGCACAGTCAGGATCAGCCCCGGAAGTGGACTTGGCCTTGGGGTGGGGAGAGCTTGCGGAGAACCAGCGTGCATTTATCAGGGGGACAAGCTGAGCGAGGGGCTGGGCTGGAAGACGGCGTGAAGGTGCGGTGTGAGGCCTGGGCGTGGGCGGCCACGGCAGGTCAGATATGGGGGCCTGTTGTCTGTCACCAGCTGCTGGGCTGGGGTGGGCGGGGCAGGCCACTGAGGTCCAGTGTCCCTTTCTCTGAGCAAAAGCAGAACGGCTGAGCCTCGCGGGCAGGGCCCGGGCCGGCCTCCTGGGGTGGCCGGAGGGCAAGGATGCTGGGTCATCGTGCTGACTTCGAAGGTCCAGTCCTGGCTGCTGTCCTCAGAGAGGGAAACAGTCACAAATGACAGGCAGCGCAGACGCATCGCCCTCCAGCTCATTAAGTGCGACGCTGCTCCTTCCCCTGGGGGCACGGCAGCTGTTGAAAGGAGATTGCCCAGACGTGAGTGAGTCAGGCGGTGGGTGCCTCTCCGGAAGGCGCCCCAGTATTCCCGCCGGTGGGGGCGGCTCAGAGCCGCGCTTCCCAGGCCTCGGGGAGAAGGCCCCGAGTGCGGATGCGGATGTGACACCGCTCAGGGTCCCTCCTCCTCCTGGGCACGGCGAGGTCTGCTCAGCAGCTTCAGATGCTCTTATGCCTCGTGGGCCTGTCCCACGTGACGGCCACGTGACGCCCGAGCTCCCTTTGGAATAGGCGCCCGCTGTTGTCCGCCCCGGGTGCCCGGCGTAGCTGGCGTGTGGCTCTGCTGTGGCTCCTCCTGCTCCGCGGCTTTGGGAGGCACCACCGAGGCCCAGCAGCCACTTCACAGCGGGGGTCCCGGGCCCCCCCTGGGCGGACCGCCCCACGGGCTCCGTCTGCGGGGCCACGTCCTCCTCAGCGCCGCTCTCGGGTTGGAAATCTAGGCCATCGGCCCACAGGCTGCGGGCTGCAGACGGAGGTGGAGCGAGGACTGTGCCTCCCACCACGGGGAGCCATCACGCCCCCTCGTAGAAGAAGGGGACGCGGCATTCAAACGGAAAGGCCGCCTGGTTAACGAGTAAAAAGGAAGGAAAGGGCACGTGCTGGACGACGACGCGTCCCTCCGCCAGCGGAGTCTCACCAGCCGGTGCCGTGTCCGCGCCTGCCCCGCAGGTGCGTCTCCTCACTCCCGGGCGAGCGGGGCCCGGGGCCGCGGGCAAGTGCAGAGGGCCGCGCGTTTTTAGACAGCCCTTCCCGCTCAGCATTCCTTTCAAGTCTTCCAGTGCCATCGCAGTGTCTCCCGCGAGGGCACCAGCGGTGCTCAGCGCGGATACAGGACTGTGAGCGGATGGCGGGACCCACACGAAACCTTTCAGCAGAACGTCCCCTCGTTCAGCACCGAGCCGTTGCTCAGTGGCTTCCCCGCCGCCGCCGAGCGCCCAGGAGGCTCTTCCTTCTGTGCGTGCCACGGGCGGCTTCGAAGCGCCTGTCGGATGTTAGATACCTGGAAGGTGGTGTTTCCAGGAGAGAATATAAGGTGGTAGTTTCCGGCTGAAGAGGAGGCTTCTGTGAGCACCACACTGAGGCGTCGCCAGCAGCGCGCCCTCGATTTGCCTTCCTGTTGGTGTGAAAGTCACGCTGCCCGTGTGTGCTTCATGGATGTGAAGGATGAGGGGTTCTCTTCAGGAAGTGCCGTGAGTTCCTGGAGTCAGGAAGACGGTCAGGCCGTGTCGTCACTGCTACTTACCCTTGCTCCTGATGGCGCAGTCCCCCCCACCCCGTAGACTTCCGGGGATTTTCAGATGTTTCCCCTAAATTCCACCCGCTTTCCACTTGCAAGGACACGTGTCCTGCCTGTCATCCTGGAGACCATTGGAGAGGGGACAGGTTGCAGGACCATGCAGGCCGGGCGCGGGGCTGCTGGGCCACCATGCATAAGCAAAGGCGATGGGCTGTCGACCACGGCCTGCCTCTCTGTGTCCCGTGGCAGCCTGAGGGCCAGGCCCACCTGACGCGCCCAGGACTCTCCTTCCCGGCCTTTGAGTTCACAAGCTGCTGCCCTGCGGGTGCAGAGCACGGGGACCTTGGCACAGACGGGTGCCTGTGTCCTCTCAGTGTCAGCGTCCACAAGGGTCCCAGCGCCACCCTGATGTTTGCACTAATGCAGATGGTCAACTTGAAGCCACCCCTGGTGAGAAAGCAACAGAATGAGCAGGAGGTGGCACAACCCACTAAAGCCACCTGACTACCACTCACCAGGACATGAAAGCAAATCTGGGTCGGTTCCAGCTCCTCCGCCTCCGCACCCTGGGCCCACCTGCACCCTGGGCCCACCTTCCCTGGAGCCACCTGCACCCTGGGCCCACCTTCCCTGGAGCCACCTGCACCCTGG